CCTGCCTGGCGAAACACAGCGATGGGATATGGTACACTGCAAAAATAACTGGTGAGTGGTGTTTGTGGGGGTTCTGCCAGAGCTGTGTAGGGATTGAGCACCCATGCTCAGGGAATTACAAAGCATGGCTATTTTGGTTAACAGTAGCAAAAACTTGAGGATGTAGCTGTGGCCTTGAACTGAAAATCTGGAGGTGGTTGAGAACGCGGTCTGAGTTGTTCTGAGGATAGGAAACAAAAGGTGACATTAGAGCAGTAATGTAGAAGGGAAATGATGGCATAGTCATGAAATGCACCGAAAGGGAAGAGGCTGGTGTGGCAGGCTCTTGCTGGCATATTTGAGTAGAACTGCAGCAGTCTGGGAGCTGTTGATAGAGGCTTGCCTCTGTTCTGAGAAGGGAAGGGTGAGGGTTTATTCTTTGGCAATTGCTGGGTCAGAGGGAGTAAGTCAAACTTCTTTGTAGTTCCATTTGTTGATAGCCCATCTTTCTCCATTTTTAGAAGTAAATCTTTTAAGCATTTAACTATTTTAACAGGTGTTCCTTGGGCCTTTCTCCTCTCCCACACATCATTCCCTGAAGCTGACTTTGAGAAAGCCCTCTGCAGTGTTTGTATTGAGCGTTTACTTGTTTCTTGCTTTTTCTTCTGTAGATATTGACAGTGGCTACTACACTGTGAAGTTTGATTCCCTGCTGCTAAAGGAAGCTGTTGTGGAAGGAGACAGTGTAATTCCCCCACTACGAAGTGAAGATGGTGCCTCATCTGCTGAATCTGATGAAGACAGTGTTGATGATTCTGGTTATGCTAAAGGTGAGAGGGTGGTGAGGGTGTGAGAAAAGTGCCTTGTGATCTGTGCCTGCCTTCTGTCTGGGACCTGGAGCTTTCATTGCAAGTGTCTCACCTCTCATGAGACGGTGGGTAATCTGTTTTTGCGTTGCTGAAAGTTTGAGAAGGGGAAGAATCTGTTATGTTACAATTGCAGAATGAAGTGTGACTTTAGTGCAGAGTACCAGTGATGAAGCTGGGATGTTTCTGTGGGAGCAGGTAGAGGGCGCCATGTTTTACAGCACAGTTCCAGTTCTCAGGTGGGCATGTGAGCTGAGCAAGTAAGTGAAACAGGAGGCTTCTAATCTCCTTGGAACCAATATGGAGCTGTATAGCACGAGTGAGATCCCAGGCACAAGTATTTGGATCTCCCAGTGCCTTAATGAGTAACAGCTGTGCCTGGTTTTTTACTACAGCAAGCTGACACAAACAGAGCCCAGGTGACCTCTTTGAGCATATACAAGTAGCACTCTCTCTGTGCTAGTGCCCCTGTTATGTCACAGGGACAAAGCTGTGTCCTAGAGCCCTGTAAATTTAGCCTAATGGAGATTACTGAATGCTAATAACACGTCTTAGCATACTAGCCTAGAGAATCCTTGAGCTTATGACATGCTCTGGAAGCACTGATTAAGCATATTATGTGCCACAGTGCCAAACTTTGCTGGGATGGCATATATCAATCTGACCATTCCAGAAGAAAGGAAAGAAATGTAGGGACTTGTAGGTGATTCTGCCTGGAACTGTGAGATGGTGTGTGCATTAAATCAAGTGAGAGCTCTCAGGTAACCCTCTAAGTGGTGTTTGTAAAAGGTGACAGCACAGTAGGAACAAGTAAAGCTGGAGGAGCTGCTGAATGATTCTGTGGTGGGAGAAGTACATTGTATTGCATCAAGAAGGGTTGTTGTCCTCTTGAAGGTTTTGCAAATCAGTTTGGTGTCTGTGTGTCACTAGTTTGTCTTTTCTGTGCTGCAGTGATTGATTCTGGGGTTCCAGAGAATGGAGAATGGGCTCCTGCGTGCAGTTCCTCTTTCGGTGGCTGGGAAGCCCACACTCGTGGCATTGGCTCCAAACTGCTTGTTCAGATGGGATACGAGTTTGGGAAAGGTAAGAGAAGGTTGTCCTGGTGGTGTGGGGGCCTGCCTACGTCGCAGTCTCAGTCCTGTGATGGATCCTAAGGCTAAGTGAGAAGATTTTGGATGAGGCAAAAACTTTGCTGAAGGGCCTGTTAGATAAGGCTTGAGGTATGTGATGAATCACCCCTGGGTGGAAGTGTTAGTAGGCAAGAAGAAAACTATTTAATCGAGGTAGAGGCACATGTGTGCACATACAGCCCCTGTATGGTAATAGCAAAAGTTGGAGGCATTTAAAACCAAGGTCAAGGTAACGATTAAAGCCATGAGAACTGTTGAATGAGCTGTTCAAAGGCTTTAGGAAGGTAGAAGGGAGCTGATTTATGAAGCTTGTGATGTCTGTGTTAAAGCATCTCCTGGCTCTAGACGTGGACTTCAAAGCCTGCTAAACTAGCTTCTTACTACACAAATTGTATGGAGCCTTGGGGGCCTTAGGAGGCCCGTCTGCTACTCGATTTGTCTCGGGTTCTCCCAGAGGAACCAAACCAGTTTTAAGAACCTGCCTTGAGAAGCCAAGGATGTGAGACTGAACCTTGTCTCACAGAAGGTGACCTGGCTGTTGGCCTTGGGCTTCTTACTGCGTATCTTCTGCTGTAGGAGGCTCCTGCTGTTGAGTTACATAACTGAGCTGTGGCTTGTGGCTGTTTCCCTCAACTTGGATGGTACTTAGGACGTTTTGCACGTCCAAAGCCTGCATGCTTGTTCTAAGCTTGTCAGTGTGAGTGTGGGTTTGTGGTGGGAGCTGACTTGGAGAGGGGATGTCCTTCCTTGTGCTAATGGCTTGGTGACTCTCATGGCTTTTCCCTCTCAGGGCTGGGGAAGAATTCTGAGGGCCGAGTGGAGCCGGTGCAGGCGGTGGTACTTCCTCGAGGGAAATCCCTTGACCAGTGTGCTGAGGTGCTTCAGAGGAAGAAACAGGGGAGGCTGGACCCTGGCAGTTCAAAGAAATCCCGAGCAAAGGGAAATAACAGCAGGAGATCCCCTGCAGGCAGCCGCAAGCCACCCCACAACGTGTTTGACTTTCTGAATGAGAAACTGCGAGGGAAGAGCGCTGGGGAGAGGCCTGGAGGTGTGACACTGCCAGAGAGGAAAAGCAAAGAGGTCTACCATGCTAGCAAGAGCACCAAGAAGGCCCTGAGCGTCCGCCTCTTCCAGACGATGGAGAAGATTGAGCAAACACAGAAGGATATCAAAGGAATCCAGCAGGCCCTGGCACGCAATATTGGGCGGTACGAAAAACTTCTCTTTTGGGCGATGGGATAAGCTGAGGATTCTTGGTGAGTTTGGGAAGGGGTGGGCTTGGAATGAGGTGTGGGAGGAAGGAAGGAAACTTCTGTGCGAGACCTGGGGGGAAGTAGAGAGACAGAGAGCCTTTAACGTGTGCTTCAGCCCAGCTTGGACACTGGCACGTGTGTCTGGGGTCCTTTGGGTGTGTTAAAGAGAAGAGCTCTCTCAGGAGAAGTCCCAGAGTCCTTTCCTTCCCATGCCCATCTCTGAAGTGCTGCTGTTGAGCAGCGCTGGAGGACATTTTCTAGCCCAGACTGTGCTGAGCATCAGGTACTTCCTGCCTTCAGCAGGTGCCTTGGATCCCATAGGAAAGGGAAGACCCTCCTGGGATGGTGACAGACCTCTGATCTTACCGTGCAGGATGACACACTGCTATGATGCTTCTTGCTTTCAGGCACAGCGTTGCTACTGCTCAGCTGGAGGAGAAGCTGGCTAATGCACACAAGCAGCTGGGGCAGCTGCAGGCCCAGGAAGCCAGTCTGCAGCGGGAGCAGAAGAAAGCAGATACACATAAGAAGATGACTGAATTCTAGTCTCCGGGGAAGGTGTTTGACTGAAGTGGTTATCCTTCTAGCCGACCCTTGTGCTCATGGCCTCAAAGCCCCGGTGAGCTGTCCTGCTTCTCTGGGTCTCAGGCTGCATTCCAAGTCCAAGAACTGGGCTGAAAAGCACCGGTTCCTGAAACTGGATGCTGCTGAGCTCTGCCGGGAAGAGGATGAGCCCACGTCCATCCAGCCTTGAAGTTTGCATAAGGACTAGCAACAAGAAACACAATTCTCTGCTATCTTGCACACTTCTTTCCTCTCACCACTGCAGTAGCTGGAGTGTGTAGCTGCTCAGATGATAACATTGCTGGCTACGAACCAGATGAGGAGGGCCTTTGAAAGCCCCACATCCTGCCATCGGTTGTGGCTTGTGTTTGCAGCCAACTGATGAACACAAGTGGAGGCAGGGTCCCAGGCACATTCTGGCAGAGCAGAAAAGGCATATGCTAGTTGAAAACAACAAAGGCAAATTGCTTCAGCTGCTCTCTACCTTCTGTTCTTTGCTATGGGGTTTATCTGAGAACTCTTAAATAAAGAGCAGTTTCTCATCAACCTAGTGTAATGCATAGACAGAAAACTGGCAGCTTAGGGGTGGGTACTAGGGGCCTCAAGCGTCGTATTTCTTCAGTTTGACTGTAAGAGTATCCCTAAGGCATGCTGTAGCCTAACTGATTGACTTGGCATGGGGAGCTGCGTGGTTCCATGAGTGCCAGAGCTGGGGGAGCATGACAGCAGAGTAACAGATTCTCAAACCTCCTAGCCAGGATCAACACTACAGGGAACCTTGAGCTTCTGTTGTTACTTGAGTTTTTCAGTCTTAGGTGGCTCTCTGAATGCAGATCCGTTATTAAGAAACCTCAGGACCCAGTCTCAGGTCAGACTGTGCCCTGAACGAGCACAAGGACCAGGAGGTGTGTGTGTGCTGAGCACACAGCCCTGCCTGGGGGCAGCCAGGTGAGGTGCCCTTCCCTGCTGCGTGCTCAGTCCTCTCCCAGGAGGGCTGTCCTCTCCCCAAGGTTGTATTCTCTGTTGGCTGCAGCTGGCCCTTGCCCCAGAGGAGAGATGGTGATTTCATCAGACCCTCTTTCTGGTGGGATTTGTGCATTGTAATTGTATTGTTTTTAAAAAAAAAAATAATTGTTAGTGGTTTCATGCCAGTATCTTAAGAACACATTTTTTCTTAATTAAAAAAAAAAAAATTGATTTCCTTTTATTCCGAGTTATTTTTTTTGTCTAATGGAAAGCTTTGCTTCCTTAATGCCACCTTTTTATCTGCTCCTGAGAAAATTATGAAGCTGTCAGCTTGGGCAGAGCTGCATCACCTTGTGGGGCCAGGCCTGTCTGATTCACTGCCAAGCTAACCAGAAAACCTAAGGCTGAAGGAGATACCATCAGAGTGGAGATGTGATTTAGCGTTACTGCAGGCACACCTCGGAAAACAAAGAGCAACAGCCAAAATGAACAAGATGAGTATCTTCAGGAAGCCTCTCAGCGTGCCTCTTTCCTCCTGGAAAGCAGTGGTGGGGTTCTGCTGCGATGGGCACTGTGAAAGGTGGTGGGCTGCCTGGAGCACACGGCGTCCGTCTGTTTGTCACCAGTTTGGCTGCAGTCTCTTCATTGTTCTCAATTCGTGTCCTCCACGCTCTGGGTTGAACTCAGGCTTTTAACAATGGCTCCTCAGTGCCCTCCCCGATGTCTGCAACTCCCACACACGGGTGTTGAGTGGTGACAACAGTCAGTGTGCCTGCTTAGCGTGGCTGCTTGTTGGAGTGGCCCACGACTGATGAGCTGGGCAGAGGGACTCCTCAGTTTGTTTTGTGCCCCGATGCCGTTGGGTGTTTTCCGTCTCACAATTGGGTGTATCAGCCCCGTGTCTCTGTTGAGCTGTGTTTTTTACCCCTTGTGGTTTCCCACAGCTCCACTTTTCAGACTTCCATTTACGCGGCTGCTGCCTCCCACCCATGGCACATCCCTGCTGAAGATTTACTTTTTTGGTTTTTCTCTCTGCCCTTTTAAGGCACTGCTTGTTTGCAAGGTAATGACTCGATGTGGCAACCCCTTCTTTCCTTACGTTCACCTGCAGACACAGCTGGCTCCAAAACCAGCTCTACAGGAGCAGAGAGCAGCAGAGGGTGCTCTTGTGAGCTGGGTGCCTGCAGAGCCTGCTCGCAGACAAGGCGGGGAGAAGCCCAGCCTGCTGCTGGGTGAAACAACAAGCTCTGCAGGTCAGGAAGCTGTGGTCTGCATGGTATCTGCACAGAGCTGCCTGCCGAGAATGAGCTGAAGAGTGGGAGAACTTGGATGGAGATGCTCGGAGTGTTTGGGAGCCCCTGATGAGGAGCAGGCTTGTGGTTTAAAGGAGACAAAGTTCTCAGTTGACTGACAAGGAGGCAGGCATGGCTGGATTCCTGTTCTTCACGCTCACCAGTTTCTGAGGTTCTGCAAAGTAAGTGATGGTCCCTTTCTTGCCTGGTAAACGTATCTGCGACTAAACCGGGGCTGGAAAATATTTAATCCGTGTGGGAACTGCAGTGCTGTCAGAGATGCTGCTGCAGCCAGCCAGACTGGACAGGCAGGATTCCTATTTTCAGTGCTGCAGAGTTGAAGCATTGCTGGGTGAAGCTGCGGGGAGCCGTGCGGGGTTTGTGCGTGGTGCTGGGGATGGGAAAGGAGGCAAAGGTCTCAAACGCAGCAGCTTGGGCTTGGACTGTTGAGTGCATTCAGAACAGCTCTGGGGGGAAACGCTGAACTCCTGTGAGAAGGGTGCTGTGGAGGCTTGTGTGGTCACTGAAACAGCCTCTCATCAATCTGAAATGATGCAGAACTGTGCTGAATGTGGGGCACAGAGGCAGCCCGGAGATCTGGGCAAACACACCTCCTGCGTCCCCTCGTGGAGCAGGCTTTGGTCTGCGTTGCTGGTCCTGGGTCTTAGTGCTCATCCAAGCTTTGTAAGGCTCGGGTCTGGCGTTAGAGATATTTTTGGCCTTTTTCTAAGTTATCTCAATGGGAGCTCAGAGCCCCTCTCAGAGCTGCAGGAGCGCAGTGCAGGGGCTGAGCACTCGTGCCTGCTCCTCCTTGGAAATATTCTTCAGCTTTATTAATGGCATCCCGTTGTCTTGGGCAGGCTGAGTGCTGTTGATTAATGGTTACGAGGCTTTCGCTTTTCACAACTGGGGACTGAAAGCCCCCTAATTCTGCTTGGTGGGGCTTTTTTTGGTACAAATCCCCAGGGCACCGCGCTGCGTTGGCTGTGGCCCCGTTGGCCATCGTGGATGAGAAGCACCTTGGTGTTTTCCATGGCAGCTCTGCAGACTCTCCTCTTGTTCCTATGTTATGTTGGTGCAGCGTTATCTGCCCCAATGAATCACGCTGGGCAAAATCGTCAGCAGCAGAACTTAAATTGACAGGAAATCAGATTTCGTTGTCATGAGGCCCAGCTGAGGAACTTGAGCTTTTTGTAACATGGCTTTTGGAGCTGAAAAACCCTCATATCCTGGAGTAAGAAACCGGGTTCAGTGCTGGTGCTGAGGCATCGTGAGATGGGGCGATTCCCTGGTGCATGTCATGCCCACGGAGCTGCGGCCACCTGCAGTGCAGTGGGGCTGGTGGGAATGCTGTCTGCTGCAGCTCCTGCCCTGAGAGCAGCCCCAGAACCTGGAGATCCATGTATTAGCAGGAAGTTGAGCTGCACGTTGCAGTTGGTTGGAATCTCTGTCTTGAACGCCTGCTCGGTCTGAGCATTGGGCAGTGCTGGGTCTCCAGCTGGTCGCTCTTGGTAATTGGTAAAACCAGCGCCCTGTCCCTAGGGGGCTGTTCCCAATGAGTGCAGAACCCAAACGTGCCAAAGAGAGTAAAAAGTGGACCATTTTTTAGGTCAAAAACACAGGAGCAACCACAGACCTCCTGCACAGTGGAGAGGGCGGCCAAAGTAGGTCAGGGGAAGAACTCTGAGTTAACTTCAGCTGGAGAACCTCATTCTCAAACCCAAACAGCTCGGGGATGGCCGTGGGATGAGCCGTCCCCACGTGTGCTTGTCACAGCAAGAGAAGATTTCCCTTCAAGCCCCATTCACCTCCAGCCACCATTGCTGCGTATTGCTCTGCTAAGTGCCAGCACCTCTCCTTGCTGCTGCCCCGGGTGCAGCCACCCCTGCAGCCTCTGATCCTCTGTAATGAGCCAAACGAGTTCAGCCGGGACCGTCTGGAGCGCTGCAGGTAACAAACCATGCGTGCTCAGACAGCGAGCGGTGCTGCCTAATTAAAACACCATGGAGGCAGAGGAGCTCCTTCCCAGCTCTGATGTGAGCCGGTCTGCCCAGCCTGGTTGGTGCCTCCGACCTCCCGTCTCCATTTCCACATGGAAATAATTGCTCTCCGGGGGTGAAGGCTTTGAATCGGCGACGTTTCCGAAGGTGTGGGAAGTTCTCACGTTGACACCCGAGGGCCTTTTTGGGGTGTGCAGAGCAAAGAGCGGCCGCTGTGACATCGATGCTGGGGATGTGGTGGCAGTTTGGCAGCACAGCAGTGGCCGAGCAGGGAAAGGAACGATGCCTTGGGATTTTACTGGTGTTGGGTGAATGGTGACTGCCACAAACTGCTCTGCTTTCCTCCATTCTGAGAAGCAGGATCCTCTCTGTGCGTCCCCGAGTCACACCATGGCCCCCAGTGCGGTGATGGTGCTGTCAGCAGGGCTGTTGCCAGCATCCTACGTGACCCCACCAAATGGTTTCCAGCTCTTCTGACCCTATGCCGTGGTCACTGCCCAGCCCTGCTATCCCCAAAGCGTGCTGACAATTTGGGGTGCCTCTGGGGCTTCTCCTTTGTAAGATGTCAAAAGCAATGTGGGAGATGAATTCTGCGCTGCTCCTCTTTTGAAAAGAACCAACATCCGGAGCAGCAGAACCTCCAGCAAGGCAGCAGCAGGACAGGAAACAATCCCTGGTGGCTGTCCCTGCAGGATCTGGGCAGCCCCCTGCCCAACAGCCGCACTGTGGGGTCCTGGCAGGGAACAGGGCGCCGGGCATCAAATGCAGAGAGCCTTGTCCCCATGCACGGCCCCATTTATGTTTTCTCTCCCCAGAGCTCAGCCCTGCAGCACTCACAGAAGCGGTGCCCCATGGCTGTGACCCACAGTGAGGGGCTGCTGGGACCCCCACCCCTGGTGGCCCTCGCTGTACTGGCCCTGCTCGGAGGCCTGGTTTACCTGTGCACCCTGTGTGCTGCCTGCCCACGGTACGTGCCCAGCGATGCCGTGTGCTTTAGGGCTGCTCCTCACACCCAGATCCCTGCTGAAGCCTTGGTGTGCACCGAGGGGGAAGGCCTGCACCCAAAAAAGCTGGTCCCAGCTGGGGGCGAGGCTGTGGTGGTGATGCTGGAGATGGATGTTGAGTGGATGAACATCGGGTGGGTGAACGTTGGGGCAATGCTGGGGGTTGCTTACAGGACGCTGATGGGGTTTTGAGGGTTCCTGGGCACTGGAGATGTGTACCCAGCTGGGCGCAGGATGTGCACGAGCCCCCAGCAGCACTGCCTCCACTGCAGTCTGGTGGAGGGGCAGGGGGTGGGTTTGGGGTGAGGGCTGCTCAGCGATTCCCATTGGAGCTGGGTCGAGCTCCCAGGCAACCACTCACTCACCACCACTCAGTCCCACTTCTCCCACAGCCACGGCAGGAGAAAGAAGGTCCCTCCAGACGGCGTGAAGCTGGTGGATGAGGTAAGGGCACGGGCAGGGCTGGGGGGAGCTCTGGGTGCCCTGCCCTGACAGCGTGCATTTCCCCATTGCAGTCCCTGCTCAGACAGACACAGCTGCGCTCGCTCAGCAAGTCGGACACGAGGCTCCATGAGCTGTACCGCCTGAAGGCCAAGGACAACAGTGAGTGTGTGCGACCCCCGAGCATCCCACCCCACACACCTTGTGCTGCAGTGCAGTGCCTCCATGTCCCATCTCCTCCTTGCAGACCAGCGCCCGGCCAGCTTGGATTTCCCCCTCTCCTCACTGCCTCCTGACTCCCCGCACAGCTCCGTCCTCCTGCACCGCCAGCTGCCCCTCATCCCCAGCTCTGAGACTGCAGCTCCCGACCAGACCTACTCCAACCTGCCCTTCGCCCCACCGCATCGTGCGCCCCCAGACACGCTCTACGAGTGCCTGGCAATGGGGGGGGATGATGCACCTACTGCCACTGGGACCCCAGCGTCCCCCCCTCGGGTCAGGCAAGGGGCTGCTGACTATGCCTGCATCCGGAAGGTGAAGAAGACGGTGCCAGAGGAGCACGAGGGGGCCGTGGTGGGACCCTCTGCAGCCCCACAGTGCTGGGAAGGTGCAAGCGATGCACCCCATCTGAAGGTATGGCACTGGGGGGGCCCATAACACTACTTCATAATGCACGTGTGCAGAGAAGGGCACGCAATGGGATATTCTACTATTCCAACTGTGTTTTGGGGGATTGGGATGGAGCCCGGGTGCAGGTAGGAGATGAACCGAGCGCTATCCTGAGTGATGCAAAGAGTGGTACCCACGGGTATGGCAATGCCATCATCCTACCAGGGGCTTAGGGATGACCTGGGAGGATCAGCCATCTCCAGACCATTCCCTTCCCTCCACAGCTGGAAGATATGTACTCAACGGTGTGCAAAGCCACCAAGAAGAGGAACCATGGCCCTGCAGCATCCCCCAGGGACGGGGGATCCGGGCGGCCACCCCCACCCCACGAGGAGCCTCCCCCAGCTGCCTGCTGGCCCACGGCCCCCCCCGAGCCCTGCTATGAGGCCATCAATGACAGAGCCTGGGCTGCACGTGGCCCTGAGCCAGACTATGAGGCTGTGGACGTTCGCTGGAAGAAGGCAGCAAAACGGGAGCGGCCGGGGAAGCCTTGCCAGCAGGACAACCTCTATGAGAGCGTTGGTGATATGTGGGGAGGGGAATCTCGGGGAGCTTCTGGCTGGACAGCTGCCAATGGGCTGCAGGTGTACATCACCAACCTATAGCAATCCTAAGGCGGGCAGGTGGATGGATGGACAGATGGATGGATGGATGGATGGAGGTTGGGCACTGAGGCTCTGCCCCGCAAGGTGGGGACGGGCACACAGCTGTGCCAAATGTGAGCTCTGTATATATTTTGAGTTACTTTTCTTTAAGCATCCTTGTCCTGTCCCACCTGGTGCCAGCAGGTTGGCACCGAGATGCTCCAGCCGGGTGGGCATGGTGGGATGCCTGGTGCTACCTCTGGTGTTCCATGGGAACTCCATGAGGGGGTTGGGGCCGTTGCCATGAGGCAGCTCCAGGCATGGACTGTAGGACTGGGTCACCCATCAGCAGAGATGCTGGAGCAGAATGGGGCCCTTCCAGCAGTGGGAGCCGTGAGCAGCTCCACTCCATCTCCCAGTGACCCCGAGGTAACTGTGGGATGGCTGCACGTCCCCACTGTCCCCTGGCACTTTCCACCTCCATCACTTTTGGGCAAATGTGACACCTCCATGAGCAGCATCCTACAAACCCGTTGCTTTATCATTTGTCCTGCTGGTAAGAAAACACCTTTAAACTCCATCCCAAACCCTCACCCGTGGTGGCACCGTGGCGGGCTCACAGTCACGTGCTGGACCTGCACCAATGCTCCAAAACACCTGCATGGCTGCAGCCACCGGGCGCTGCCGCAGTGGGACCAGGCAGGGTCGTGTCACAGCGGTGCCAAAGCCGGGGCTCTGCCCACCCTGATGCTGCAGCACAGGAGGGAAAGAAGGAAGGAAACCGTGCGCCCGCCTCCTCCACATTTTGCCCTCGATCGAAGCAGGCGAAGAGCTGAAAACCGAAAACACGGCGCTCAGCAGAATGCCGGGGACGTTACGCCCTGTGCACGGGGAGGAACGGGGTGCTGGCGCTGAGATGAACCGGGTGCCAAACCGCAGCGTGCACCGAGCGCAGCCGGGCCCATCCCCCTGCGAGATGGGGGCCCGATAGGAAAGGGCACGGGGCGGGGCGCGGGGATGCTGCGCACGTGGGCTCGCTGCTGAGCTGCTGCTCGTCCCTGCCCCATTTTCCCCATCCCCGTTTTCCACATCCCTATTTTCACCACCTTCTCCATCCTCTTTTCCCCATCCCTTTTTCCGCATCTCTATTTTCCCCACGTCTCCTTTTCTCCATCCCCCTCCTTCTCTTTCCCCATATTCCCCATCCCTATCCTTCCCCATCCCCTTTTCTCCATCCCTCCCCGACCCCCCCTCCTTTCTCCACTGCTGTTTTCTCCACCCCACTCCCCATCCCACCACGTGCTGCATGTTGTAGGGTGCAGTGCTGTATGCCATGCGGTGCTGCATGATACATGGCGCTGTATGCTCTGCTGCACCCCATCCGGTGCTGCACCCCATACCCTTCTCCTGCCCATGCAGCCCCCAGCACCACCTTGGGGGCTCTGTACCCCAGCACAGCTCATAGGGCCTGTATGTCACTATACAGCCCCTATAGTCCCACACCCCCCTTGTGCAATGCACCCAAGGTGCTGGCTCAGTTGCACAATGTGGGCTCGATCGCTCTGCTGTTAACCATTAACCCAAGGTGGGGGCTGGGGGGAGCCCCTGCCCTGCTGCCCCAACCCCTGGTGGCTGCACCCCATCATTGCTAATTAACTGCCCCAGGGCCGCCCTCTTCATTGCGCACAGAGGGATGAGGGGGCACTCAGGGACACCACAGGTAGGGCTGCTGGGGGGTGCATAAGGGGGGACATCTGCACGGACTCTGTCCTGACCTTCAGGCCCCAAATCAAACGTCACAGAGCCAGGGCGGCACCCAGCACTCTCAGCCCCACAAGTAGAATGTGGGTCGTGCCAGCCTGAGCGCTCGTGTCCCCCCAGAAATTCAACTGCCCCACAGACCACATGCACCCCATGCCTTTTGGCCCCCCAGCGCACCCTGTGCAGCTCTGGGCATCCCGTGAAAACAGGTTTCACCCAGAGCCCTGTGCACACCTGCAGCCTTTGGGAGACCCCAAAACTCATCCTGGCTGGTAACAAAGGTTTTGTAGGGGACACCCTGTCATTACGGGTGGGGTGACACGGTTGGGGTGGCCCCGTACTTTTGCAGAAGTGCTGTGGCTTAGGGGGAATCCTCTAATTGGGGAGAGGGCGTGACTTTGGGGGCAGCCCTACAATTGCCAGGGAGCCCAAGGGCTGATGGAGGAGCTCTGCAACTTCCAGGGTTCCCTGGGGGTTTTCTGGGAGGGGACTCCCAATTTTTGCAGAATCTGGGGGAGGGGGCAGCAAAACTTTTTGGGGAGCGCTACAGATGAGGGGGAGCGCTGTGATTTTGGGGGTGCAGCTTTGGAGAGCACAACTTTTTTGACGGCAGCAACTTTTTTTTCGGGGTAGGTACGACCGTTTCGGAGGTGCGGCTCTCGGTCGGGCCCTGCGGCTCTCAGCCCTCCGGCTTGGAAGCGTCGCTGCAACTTCGCAGCGCGTTATCGCGGGGCGGGGGCACCGCTTTGGGGGTCCCCCTTGACTTGGGGCACCCGGGGCCGCCCTCAACCCGCAGGGCCGCGAAGGGACCACGGCGCTTTTCGGCCCCCTCCCCCCGGTGCCGGTGCCGGCGGGGCGGGGCGGGGCGGCTCGAAGATGGCCGCGGCGGGGGCGGTGGTGGCGGCGGCGGGGCCGGTGCGCGGCGGGGCGGGGCGGGGCGCGGCGCGCCAAGTGGCAGCGCCGTTCAGCCAATCAGGAGCCGCCCTCGAGGCGGCCGCGTTCCATCCCGCCACGGCGGAACCAATAGGAAAAAGCGGCGGGGCAGGGAGGGGGCGTGGCCACCGCCGACACCGGGCCGCGCGCCGGAGCGCTCCCCCCCCGCCCCGCGCCGGGCCCGGCCCCGCGGCCGCCGCCGCCCCGCATGGAGCCCGCGCCGCCGCCCGCCGCCTGCGCACTGCTGCTGCCGCCGCCCGCCGCCCGCCGTCGCCGCGCCCGCCGCCGCCTCCCGCCCGAGAACGACGGGGCCCCGCAGGTACCGGGGGGCGGCGGAGGATGACAGCGAGAAAACTTTCCCCAGCGGTTAAATAGGGGTCAGGGGCGCGGCGGGGAAGGGGAGGGGAACCCCTCGGCTCCCCTCGGCTCTTCCCCCCCCCCCTTTCCCCGGTGCTGTCCCGTTCTGCGGTGCCGCCCCCGGCAGGGATCCGCTGCTGCCCGCTGGCGGCCGCCCGGCGGACACGCCCCCCCCCGGAGCCTCTGGCGGGAGCGGCTGGGGAGGGTTCGGTGACCCCGCGAACCGGCCTGTGGGTCCGACCGCAGCCCGGCTGGATCCGAGGTGGATCCCGGCTGCAGCCCGATGTGCGCCCACTTGGCTCAGCTGGAGATACCGGCCCGTGCCCAAATGGATCCCGACTGGATCGCAGCCCTTAGGGCTGGCCCAGGTGGGAAGGATGGGAGGGATCCCAACCGGATCCCAGCTAGATCCTTTTGGGATCTCCCAAGTGAGGAGGGAGCCGCTGCACAGCACTGTGGGGATTCCTGTAGGATCCCGGTGCTCTGCTCCAAAGGGATCCGCTGCTTTGCTTTGGAGGATGCCAGCCCTGCCCAGCACAGCCTCCCTGGATCTCCTTGGGATCTGCCCACAGAGGGATCCATTGGGTGCTGACATCCCACAGCGAGTGCCTGCGGAGATCCTGCTGGATCCCAATCGCTTCCCAGCTGGCAGATCTGCCCGAGATCCACTTGGGACATGCAGGATCCCACCGCAATCTGTCTCAACGCTGCCAACTCCTTCCCTACCTTAGAGACTGGGCAATCTCATGGGGCTGGGACCCACCAGCAGTGGGATCAGCCCCCCGACGGCCGCCCTCTCCCTGCAGGCATTGCCCGGGGCGCGGGGCTGGCTGCGACGCCTGGGGGAACCGCTGGGACTGCAGCCCCCCGAGCAGGAGGCGGTGCTGAGGGTGTTGGACGCGGGCTTGGAGCGGTGCCTGGCGCTGCACGCAGCCTGCATCCCCCTGCCAGGGCACAGGTATGGCGGGACGGGGTGGGAATGGGGACGGGTACAGGAACGGGAACGGAGGTGGGTTGGGGAGGACGGCGATAAGGTTGGGAACGGGGATGTGGACGAAGATGAGGATGGAGGTGGGTCAGGGTGCGGATGGGCCGGTGCGCTCCTCTCACCCGCATGGATAAAGACGTGTGGGTCTCCCCACCCTTCCTCTGTGTGGACTCAGAGGCCGTCGCTGCTCCCTGGGGGCTCCCAGCAGAGCCTGCGGCCGTGGCACAGCGCCCGGTGCCGTAACCGGAGCCGTCGGGGCGGGCGGCAGCTGCTTGGCACCGGCAGCGGCTCCGCCCGGCTCCGCGTGGAGGCGCGAATTCAAACGGCTCCGCAACTTGGGGCGGTGGAATAAAAAATCCCCCCTCGGATTTCTCAGTGCTTTTCCCAACCTCAGGGTCGCACAGCGAGGGCAGAGCCCCCCCGCAGCCCTTCCCCGGGGCTGCCCCGATTTGTCCCACTGGAGCTTTGGGGACGCACTTGCAAAATGGCTTCTGTTGCTCCTGACCTCTTGCTCACTACTTTTTTTTTTTTTTTTATTTTTGCTCTTTTTCTCTAATTTTTGTTTTTAGTTTTTCTTAATTTTTTTTTTCCACTTCAGGAAGTTGTTTGGCCCCAGCTGAGCTTAGCCTGGTTTCTCAGCTGCACGTGGCACAACACAGGTGTCAGTGCCCATGGGGTTCCTGGTGCTGGTCCGTCTCCCCTCCGAGGCTTGTGGGAACCCTGGTGGGAGGTGGGGGGGCACAGAGGAGCAATGGTGGGGGATCCTGGCTGTGATCATCACAGCCCCTGTGCTCACGCTGGCAGGAAGCTCCCAGGCAAGGCAGGCATCGATGAGGTGATGGCAGCCGCAGTGCTCACCAGCCTTTCCAGCAGCCCACTGGGGCTCGGCCACCCCCCAGCACCTCCTGGCCCAGGTAAGAGCACGCTGCGGGACGCCCCTGTTCCTGGGTGTGTGCTACAGAGCTGACCTTCCTTCTCTGCAGCAGAGCTTGGCAGTGAGATCTGGAAAGAGACACCAGCCATGTCCTTCAGCTGCAGCAGCAGCAGCAACACCAGCGGGGAATGGAGCTGGGACCCCCCCAGCGACCGCTCCACCCCCTCCACCCCCTCACCCCCACTCTCCAGCCATGACCCCAGTGCCTTCTTGCCACCAGACGATGGCCCCGAGGAACCTGACAGCACCCACTTCATGTTTGGAGAGCCCATCCCGCGGAAGAGGAAGGTGGGATGGGGACAGGAATGGGGATAGGGATGAGATTGGGGATGACAGTGATGATGGGGTTGACAGTGAAGTTGGGGCTGGAAACGACGGTGCATTTGGGGATGAGTCTGATGATGGGGTTGAGGCTGGAGGTGGTGAGGCTGGGAATGGAGATGATTGTAAGGGTTGATGACTTGGAGCTGAAGTGCTTGTGGGGGGGATGAGGTTGGGAGTGGGATTATGGGTGGGCTTGATGTTAGAGTAGGGGACTGTAGGCGGGTTTGAGGATGAAGAAGGTGGTGGGGATGACAGCACTGGGGATGGGAATGGTGATGGGGATGATGAGGACAGGGCTGGAGTTGTTCTCCTGACCCCGCTTGCCTACAGAACTCCACCAAGGTGATGTTCAAGTGCTTGTGGAAGAGCTGCGGCAAGGTCCTCAGCAGCTCCTCAGGGATGCAGAAGCACATCCGAACCGCGCACCTGGGGTAAGCGCTGGGGCAGCACCCAGAGCCCCCAACCCTACAGCCCCCACCGTGGGGTCCACCCCCAGCCCAACCCCGCTTCCCCACAGCCGCCAAGCCGACCTGGAGCAGAGCGACGGCGAGGAGGACTTTTACTACACGGAGCTGGACGTGGACGTGGACTCGCTGACGGATGGACTCTCCAGCCTGACGCCCGTCTCGCCCACCTCCTCCGTGCCGCCCGCCTTCCCCGGCCCCGAGCTGCCGCCCTTCCCCAGCCCCGAGCCTCCTCTGGGCCCCCCCCGCAGCCCCCCGCCACCCCCGGGCCTCTGCCACGTCCACACTGACCACGCGTACCAGGTGAGGCCGGGGTGCAGCGCGGTGCACGAGGGTTTTGTGTGCGCCCGTGGGTGCTGACGTGCTGCCGCGTCCCCAGGGCTGCCCCTCAGGGCCCACGGCTGGGGAGAAGCGGCCCCCAGGGCTGCCTTTACCTGGGTTGAGGACGCCGGCGCTGCCCACCCCGACGCTGTCGAAGCCACCCGCCGTCCCCAGGTGAGTTGGTGTCACTGTGTCGCCGTCCCCTCCGCCCTTCCCATCCCCGACGCTGCCGTGACGTGGCGGTGCCCCGCAGGAAGCCACGGGGGGAGGCCAAGAAGTGCCGCAAGGTGTACGGCATGGAGAACCGGGAGCTGTGGTGCACGGCGTGCCGCTGGAAGAAGGCCTGTCAGCGCTTCCTCGACTGAGCCCCGCCGCCGCCGCCGTGCCCCCCCAGCTCTCCTTCTTGCACATTTTGCACTTGAGGTGCCTTCGCGCCCCCCAGCCCGCCCCACACACACACACACACACACACACACACGCGCGCTCCCCCCTGGGGCTGGACTCAGGGAACAGCCCCCACGCTGTTGGGGGGAGGACTGTAGGGCTTGGGGGGGCCACGCACAGTTGGGCCTGGCCCTGCCTTCCCCCCCACCCCGAGCTTTATGCACACAGCCCCCCCACGCCAACACAGAGCTTCCCCCCCCCTTTCTTTATCCTCGGAAAATAAGCTAACCCTCCCCGTGCCCCCCAGCCCTTGCCTGCAGCCCATATCCCTGCTGGGGGGGGGGGGGGGGGGGGGGCCCATGTGCTGCTGGGATAAGCTGTGCCTTGGGGCTTGGGGGGGTGGAGGGGAGGGAGAAGGGTGGGTTCTGCTCCCTGTCCTCGCCTTAACGGGGGGCTGATGGGCACAACTGGGTGCCCCCCCTGCACCCCGCGGGGGTTTTTACTCTTTGTAGCGTGTTTTTCTCTCTATGTTTTGTACCTGGGGAGCAGCAGCTCCTGCCGGGGGCCGCGCTCCGGGAAGTGCCTGCAGAACGCGCCCATTTGCACTAAGCCAAACTGCACAAAGACCTTTTCTGTTTTGTTTTTGGGGTTTTTTTTTTTGTGTTGTTTTTTTTTTCTCCCCCCCCCCCCCTTTTTTTTTTTTCCCCTCTCCTTTGTGTGTTTTTATTTTTTTAAATGAAATATATGAAAATTCCTATTTTTTAAATACTTCCTCCCTTCCCCCCCCCCCACCCAAACCCTCTCCGGGCTGCAATGCCTCCAGCCCAGGGAACTTCAGGGGCTTTTTGGCCTTCGCCCCTTTCCTGTCCCCTCCCAGTCCCTGTGTCCCCTCCCCAGGCGCAGTCCCTCCCCCCTTTGCCTGGGGTTTGGGGATCCCTGCATTGGGTGCCCCCGGAATGGGGTCGGGGAGGTGCTGGGATGGGTCGGATCCATGAGAAAAAATAAAAGATTTGGATTCTTTTTGTTTTTTAAAGGATGACGCTGAGCTGCGTGATGTGGGGGGATGGAGGGGGGGGGGGTCGGTCCTGCTGCAGCCCCCCTGGGATGGAATCACCCCAACAGAGGGATCCCCTGCAGGATAAAGGCAGGGGAAGGGCTGATGGAGGGCTGGGAGCCAGCTGCAGGCAGGGAGCGGGCACAGCTGGGGGAGAGCACAGAAAAACCAGACGCCAACGTTAGCAGCAATTTCCCCAGTTTATTGAAAGGGATTGATTTCTGCACGTATGTCTACGCTAAGTCCCATCACAACGTATGCACACTCAAAGGGCGCAGCTCTGGGTGCCAGGCAGACAGAGTCCAAAGGGAGGCCCTGTCAGCTGAACTACATCGACAGGGAGTCAGTACAACACAGCCACGTCCTCTGCTGGCCTCGGAGACCCAAATCTCCTCCCCCGAAATATGAAACACATCTTCGATACAAACACAGGTTTTATAATAATCATTATGGAGTCAGTTATAATATAGAATATTTCCGGCAAAAGGAAATAATTCCCCATCATCATCTTCGAACGCCGCCCTCTTTCTGTTCAGCTTTATTTCTGCAGACAGGTTTAAAGCACGTTGGAAAAATAAATAGAGGTGGGAGCACACACACAGCACTCGTACTAAAGAACTAAAAACGAAGGCAGGAACCCAAAACACAGCGCAGGGCAACTGAAACGTACAGAGAACCACAGAGAACCGTTCCGTATGGCTTTCGTAGGAGTTGCAGAATGAGCTGAAAGAAGCTCAGCTCCTTGGTAAGACTGCAAGGATTCCAGTTGTTGCATTTGCATGGAGTTCCTTTCCTAAGGGGGCAGCGAAGCTGTGGCTCTGAGCACGGGTCAGAGGGCTCTGTTTGGTACACAGAGTGCAGCCCCCACAGAGGAGTGGTGCTGGATGATGATGCTGACACGCTGTTAGCTTTTCTGTGCAGCTTCCTTTTTAAAGTCATTTTTAACCTCTTTCTTTCGCATCCTCAATGCTGAGCGCACCCAAATGGTGCTGCTGGGCTCCATGTCCGAAAAGGAAAGGAAAGGAAAAATGGGAAACGTTTCCAAACACGAAGCAAAGCTGAGGTCACCCCGGGCTTTGAGGGGGGATGGGGGCTCCCAGCTCTCGTGCTGTGGGACGGAATGTCACAGAAAAAAAGGGGGCAGGGGTTGGGTGTGCAGGTTCTGTTCTTAAATAGGTTTACATATCAAAGCAAAGCTGCAGCCATCTGTAAGTACTGTGTGCGTTTGTCTACACAGAAGTGGGGGCACTGAGGGCCCCTGCTATTGACAGGGCCGACAATAAATACAGATCTGTGGGAGTCAAGAGCTGCCTGGCACGGGGCTGGGGCAGCTTTGGGGCCTGGAGGACGGCAGTGAAGGCTGATGGTAGAACACGGGGATTGCTTTTGTCTGCCCAAACACGGCCGTGGGGCTCGACGTGGAGCTACGATGCAAAACCAAGGTCTATGCAGCTCAATGTTTCTGCAGCACCCCCCGCTGCAGCACACAGGGACCAGCACAGCTGGCAGCAGTGGGACACGTGGAACCCCATCCCCAACGTGCAACAACGCCAACAGAGACGCGCACAGATGTCTGCATGGAACTGCAGGGCAGGGCTGGCAGCCAGCAGCTCCGACCCCGAGGGAGCGGTGGGGGTGAGGGCACCACAAACCCTGTTTTCTTGCCGAGCAGAACCACGCTTCCATCGAAACCAACACCTGTAAGGAGCTCCCTCCCCACCGAGATCCTTTCCCACCGTCGGAGGATAACGAATAGCACCTTGGAGTCATTTGGCTGGCGGCACCAGGTTGTCCTTGGCGGCAGCTTTCAAGGAGCGTCGTGGCAGGCGGCGTAGAAAACGGCTCCGTAGCGAGGAAGGAGCGAGGTCTTCAGCTTTTTCGGGTTGTTTTTTTGCCTTGTTTTTATAAAAAAGCACCAGAAGCAAAGAGGTGAAAGGTAACACGGATTTCTTCTCGCCCATCAGGACCCCTGCAGAGCACTGCGAGTCATTTCCTCGGGGCTGGAAGCAGGCAGCCACGCTCCATCTGGACACGGAGCATCCAACCGCTCGGAGCCACCCAAACCTATGCGAGACACGCCAGGAGAGAAACCTGGTTCTCATAAAAACATTTTATTTGCAAATTTACATGAAACCAGTGCAGCTGAGATTGAAGGGTTTCCTTAATAGCTTTCACACCTACCAACGATGGACTGAAGCCCACCCAGGTGAGATCCCAGCAGGATTTTGGGTCTCCTCACCTCGGCGTCCCGTGTTTCACAGCTCATCCTAAAGGTCTCGCTTTTTCTTTTGCATATATTTGTGAGAAAGGCAGCTGAGCAAAGGGAGGAAAGTGAAAATATCAGTGGAAAACGCCGACAGGTGGACAATTCCCTGTGTCCTTATGGCAAAGAGTCCATGAAAATGCCAGCGCCCATCGGTGGGCGCGGAGACGCAAGGCTGGAAGACAGGACACGGGTACGACGCCGCTGGGTCCTAGAAATGCCATCATCTTTTTTGATGGTGATCCTTCTGGAAGCTAAAAATCTACTTTTATGACAAGAATCGTAAGGCTGCAATGCCACTTGCCTTTTGATCTATTTGGCTCGGTAAAAAAAAAAACAACCAATAAAAACCCTCTTTAAATAACTTGCAAAAGGCCTGCATCGTTAGGGGAAGCCCTCGGAAACGTGCGCCCATTCGTTCCCAACACCTCTAGTTTGCAGTTCCACTGCTGCTGGGATGTTAATCCATAGAAGAGGTGTTAAGCACCACCCAAAACCAACGTCGGACACAACATCTCCTGGAGCTCAACGCAGGGTGGGACGGGGGCACGTGCCCCTAGGATCCCCATGCAGGATCGAGGAGGAACAGCAGGCGGCGGGGCCGTGTTGCTAACACACATCCAAGTGGAACAGAGCAGGACTCGTTTAGAAAACACAAATAGTTTTGCACACGTGGACGACAACAAGGCTATGTAGGTTCTGCAACGTACTCCTTCCTCCCCTGCCCTCCCTCCCCCTACAAACAACAGAACGTGACAAAAGGATCCCTAAGAAATCCAGGTAAAATCCTTGTCGTTCTCCCCAGAGTTCTCCTGCGAGGAGTCGACGTCTTTGTCATCATCCAAAATCACGTCGTCGTGCGCCATGCCCACGTCATCCTTCCATTTGATGTCGTCGTCGTCTCCCGTCTCCTCGTCTCCCTCCACCTTGATGTCATCCGGGTCTTCCATGTACGCCCCCTCCCCAGGGTACAGCTCCTCGGGGGACCCCTCGGCCCCGCTGGCCTCCAGGTGCCCGGCCACGCTGCGCCCCGAGCAGTCGGCGCAGACGCCGTGCCGCCGGGAGCCGTGCTTGATGCCCACGCTGGCTGCAGACATGAACACCCTGTTGCACACCTTGCAGACGTATTTCTTGTCCTTGCTGTGCACCTGGGGAAGGGGAGGAGCAGAAGGGTTAACGGTGACGGAGCTGGGCTGAGGGCTGCGTGAGGGCTGCTCGGCTGCCTTTCTGCTAAGCAAGGCTTTCGTCGTGCGACGTCAGCCCCTCACAGTAATTCTGCTCTGTAACGCTGCAGTACAGTGGGAAATCATGTCATCACAGCATGGTTGGCTTGGAAGGGACCTTAAGGCTCCAACTGCTACCGTGGACAGAGATGGCTCCCACACAGCAGGCTGCACAGGGCCACGGGCCCCTGCAAGGATGGGGCACCCAACGTTCTGTGCCAGAGCCTCACTGCCCTTGGAGTGAAGAATTTCCACCTAACATCTGAGCTGAATCTCCCCTCTCTTAGTCTAAAATCATTCTCCTTTGTCCTATCATTGTCACGCCACCTAGTTCTCAAAATCCTCTTGAAAATGCCTATGATCAAGCTGGGAATATTTGAGAGGAACTTCCAGCTTGCAGCCACTCAGGATGCTGCAAGCAGAGCAGGAAGGAAGCTCTGCACACACAGAGCCATACCTCCAACCAGAGCTGGACACAGAGCTGGACACAGAGCTGGACACAGAGCTGGACACAGAGCTGGACAGGCCCCGGGCAGCATTTCCTGCCTGCTCCTGCAGCCGGGAAGCACCGCTTACACCCTGTGACCACACAGAGGCACCATCCGAGATGCAAAGACTTCAGGAAGAAAACCCTGTGTTTATTTCGACCGTCTGTCTCAAAGAAAACAGACATTTCTATTGAATTTACATCTTATATGAAGGCTATAAAAAAATCCTTTTTGATCTGAGCTAAACACGAAACTAAAATAGCCCCTTTTGTCTTTAGTTCTCAACTGAGGAACTGAAAGAAAAGAAAGTTTTTGTGTGTGCTGAACCTGTTTCCTTTTTCTATGTTATTTTTATACAATATTTTCCCTTGATGCCTATCAGCACTCATCTCTGCAGATTTACCAGAGAGCTGACAATTAAGCCCAAAACACTGTACAAAAAGGAAATAAGATCAGCAGACCAGCAAAGCACACGATCCCAGACGCTCAGATTGCCACGAGCATTACGTCTTTGGTAGATGAAGCTCTTGGTGCCATTTGGATATAATCACAATCACAGAATAAGAAAATGCCCCTTTTCACAGCTCCCTTTCAGAAGGAGTGCTTTGGACAGCAGGGCTGCCTGGAGTCTCACTGCAACACCCCTTGGGGAGATGCTTCCCATCCAAACTCGAGCAGAATTAAACTCTGTTGTGTGCTCTCCAGAACAAGCAAGCAAGCAAACAAACAGAAAAACCCCAACAAACTTAAACGAAACAAATATCTTTTTTCTTTCCCTCCAGTGCACACCTTGGAGTCACTTATGGACAACTGGAATGAAACCAAAGTGCTACTGTCAGCACTGCACCTTTTTTCGTTGTTGTTCAGGAACTTTTTCTGGTACTACAAATTTGTACCCAGCTGGTGTTTTCTATCTACCTTCATTCCCTACATGAAGATGGTCTGAGGGAGAGATCTGGATAGAAACTCCTCTTCTGTATGGATTCACATTCTGATTCTGTTTTCATCTCCCCCCATGTATAATAATAAAGTGAACCTGACCTGCAAGCTCCAAGCACCAAGTCAGTGACCTAGAATGATTCCAGCAGAAGAAACGGAGACCAAACTCAACTTGCAGATCCCCTCAATCCCACTCCTGAAGAATATCATCAGTACAGCCTGTGGGCTGGGAAGCAGCACTGCAGAGAAGGACCCAGGTGTCCTGGTGGCCAATGGGTGACCAATGGGTGACCAATGGTTGACCACGAGCCAGCAGTGTGCCCTGGTGGCCAGCGAGGCCAATGGCACCCTGGCACGTGTCAAAAAGCATGGCCAGCAGGGTGTTCTGTGCCACCTGCTCCGGGGAGCCTGCTTACACGATGCCCAGAGGTCCCTTCCAACCCCTCCAGTTCTGTGAATGTCATCTCCACACTGCACACAGCCCCCAGCTCTTACCAGCGTGTGCCTCTTCATGTGCTCCCGACGCGTGAACTTCTTCCCGCAGATCTCACAGGGGTAAGGCCGCTCTCCCGTGTGGGACCGCATGTGTCTCTTCAGAATGCACTGATGCATGGCAGAGAAGCTGCAGTATGGGCACTTGAATTTCTTCCTGATCACTGTGAACTCGTTGACTGTAAGAGAGCAAGCGAAACGAGCACATTACTTTCACAATGTCCCCTCGTGGTCGGTGCTCTGGTTCAGCGTTTCCTGTTAGATCAGATCACTGCGAAATCACACTCTCACCCCTTCACCACCTGCTATTTTCTAAATCCATGTCCTTATACCATATTATTAATATCCACTGTAGCTGAGAGCTTTGCCTTCATCAGAGCAGCTTTGGAGCGAGGCAGAACGCGAACACGAGCAGCCCAACACACACTGCCTAATGCTGGTTAAGGAGCAAACACAGCAGGCTGGCAACCTGTTGACAATTCTGATTTACTGTAGGGAATCACCCTCAATACCAGTATCTAAAACCCCAATGCTTGTTTTCAGACCACCAGCCAGCAGAACCAAGCAGCAGCACCACACTGTGCTGGTATTTGGGGCTGCAAGCAAGTCCCCTGTGTGTGCTCCACTGCTGCTTCAGTGGAAGTGCAATGACTACAGCTTATCCAGCAGAAACAAGAGGTCAGGACTGTCCATGCTCCATTATCCAGCTTCCAACTAGTGCTACCGCAGCACAGATACAGAAATACAGAGGAATGCATCGTGCCAGACTACAGCATGGCCCTGGTGAGCCTCCTTACAAGCCAGCTCTACAAGTCTAAGGCTTTGGTGGTTCTTCCCCCCCCCAAATCACATTATACCGAACTGGAAAATGATGAAATTTTATTTGAAGTCGTTCTGACATTGTTGATTCTTTTCTTCTTGTCATCTCCTTAGGAGTGCACAGACAGCAGGCTCGGGGGACGCATCCAGCACTGACAGCCCAGGGGTCCAATTTGCCAGCAGAATGCACACAGCAGCTGTGTTGGTATTTCCTCCTCCAAACACAATGAAGTGCAATATGCAAAATGCAGCAGGTGGAAACAGAGTGTTTGCTGTTCCCCGAGGACATCCACCCACTATAAATTTGGGATAGACCATCCACTCAGATATGCCTTTAAATCTCTACAGTTCTTACAATGCTATGGCTTCCTATTCATATGTTAATTTTCACCCATTTTTGTCCTAATTATCACCACTTCTCAAAGCAATCTATCGTTTACATAACAAGGAAGGAAGAAAAAAAGAAAGCAAATTGTAGTTAATCATCATAAGTACGCTGTATCATGTGTGCTAATGGATTTTTATAAATGACAATGACAGGAAAGCAGAGGGAACAAGGCACACAGCAGACCTGCCTGTAGGCATGTGACACACGGAGCAGCGTTTCTGGGTGCCCGCTGAGGTGCTCTGTCCCACAGCAGATCTGACATACTGTGTAATTAGCAGAGGCAAGGAGCCCACTTTCTCCTGCAGAAGTCTTGCAGAAGGTTCACAGCGATGGCACAAGGCTACTTGTGACAGATATGTTTCCAGTCTGATCCTGTAACCGTTTGCATTACAACAGCCACAAAAACAAGTGTCCTCCCTAGGATTGCTATAAACCCACTGCCTGGCAGTCCAGACAGGGGAGGTGGGCTGTAAGCTGATAGAGCAGAGGATGCAATGCCCAATTCTCCCTCCACTCTGCAGCACATCCCACTGGTACACCCGAGCAGCTTTACCCCACTTCAGAAAGAACCAACCCAGAGGTACCTGCAACCAGGGCCAGGATTACACAGCCAAGCAATTTGGAGAAGGAAATGCTGCAAAAAACCCCCACATCCTCCACCACCAGATTGTACCTCAATGACCAGATGCTCTCGGGGGTTTACCACGAATATCAATCATCCATTTTATGGCTGAGCTACCACAAAAGCTTACGAGGCAGCTGCAGGTGCCAGCCCCGCATCGGCAGCACGCTGCTCTCACAGCAGTCCTGGACACGCACAGCTTGGTTGTGCAACCACAGCAGTGCCACAGAATTACAGCATCATCGAAGTTGGAGAAGAGCTCTGAGATGCCCAAGTTCAAGCAAACCCACCTCACCGTGCCCACTGACCACGTTCCTCAGTGCCACATCTCCACAGCTCTGGAACACCTCCAGAGGCAGTGAGCCATCACCCCTGGGCAGCTGTGTCACTGCATCACTGCTCTTTGGCAGCCTTGGTTTTATTGAACTAATGGTCACCAGAGAGCCATCATATTTAGCTTTGGATCTTTTTTAAACACCTGAAAAATAACAGCACTGTTGGAAAAATAACCATATCAGAAGAGTTTTCTATGCAAACCCAATGGGTGATACCCTATGGAAGACCTCCAAGCTGAAGGCAGGAAGGCAAAGTGAAATACCACTGAAACTGCTGCTGGAGCCAAAGAGCTGGAGGACTGCAAGGAAATAGCTCTGTGCTGAATGAAGCTCTCAAACAATCTGTGAGCGTTTTCATATGCAGTTACAACCTACAAGTAATTGATTCTGCCAACATTTTTAATTAGGAAACTCTCCATTGGACAATCAGACATTGTCTATCCGGAGCAAACGTGTCCGTGTGACACACGTGTCACATCCCATCCACGGGGACGGTGGCGGGGTTTTCAACACCACCTTTGTCCTTTGGACACACCAGACTTGTGACTGATATTACAGTGGGACAACATTTGCACACAGGCACGCAAAGAACCAGCAGGAAATGCCACTGACCAGCACTGCAATCCTCCGCAGGTGCACAGCCCTGCTGTGCTGCTCCCACGTTTCCAAGTGAAACCCATTTTGGCCACGACTTTCTCCTCTTGCTCAGCTTTCCACTACCTCACCTTTCTGCTTACTGAAGAGTAAAGTAAACCAGGAGGCAACTAACGAGCTGACAAGGAACTAGAAAAGCCAATGCACTGTGAACTAGACACAACAGCAGAGACGCTGATGAGAACAACTGCACTTAACTATGCTGCTTTCATTTAACAGCTGCTACAGCCTGGTTTGACAGGTAAATGTATTGCAAAAGACATTCAGTGTTTTTTTTAAATAAATAATTTCATGTCACAAAACATGAGTTACAGTAGGATTTCCACCTTTCACTAAGAACCACCCCTGGTTTTCTATGCACACCACTGCTGAGACCTTCTCCACAAGTCCTTCTCAAGTTCCAAAGCATACATTCATCTTGGCTAACATAAATTATATTAAATAAATTAGCTGGAAAATTTGCACAACCGCAGAAAGCCCCAGCCATACCCAGGTATATTTTCTAAGAACTTCTAAAAACTCAAAAATGATATCAAGTATTAAAATACACCAACGCTGTGGCAATTGTCAAACCCCAAACAGTGTTTTGCCTCTCCTTCAGATGACACAGAAGCCCAGACCTGACAACACCTCGCAGTGCAAAGCAGCCCCACACCCCCACAGCTCCTCATTTCAAGCTGAACAACCCTGAAATGCTCAAATTGTACCACGAACAGAGCATGGGACCAGAACACGGAATACCGAACTCTGCCATTAATTCCACTAACGTGCTCACAGGCTTAGGGATGTTAATTTCTCAGGAAAACATCACCGTTTCTTTTATAAAGCACTTTGAGATCCACTGATGCATAAAGATAAGTGCGCAGGATATCACACCACTAAGGCATCCAAAGTGCCATGATGCAGACTGACCAAGGACACGTCCGCACCAGAATCACACCATGGTGCAGCTACACGGTGTGTGGCACCAGCACCCAACCTGGTCAGTTTTGAGGAGTTGCTCTACAACCTTACACCTCTTGTAAGGAGACCGTTTGTTTTCCTAGCTCAGCAGCAAGGCCCAGCACACACAGCGGCCGGGCAGCACACCTTGGCATGGCGAGCGAGGTTCTTCTGTGTGCCCAAGCCCTTGCCACAGAGGAGACACACAAAAGCGCGCTCGATCGAGTGCACAGACACAAGGTGCTGGGTTAAGTCTGTCTTGTCCCGAAATGGCTCGGTGCAGCTAGGACACTGCATCTTCTTACAGTTGAAGTGGATGGTCTTCTCGTGGCGGTCCATGTTGGACTTGAGCGTGAAGCTGGCGGGGCACTGGGCGCACTGGAAGCGGCCGGGAGGCACGGTGCCCAGCAGGCCGGGCCGTGTACGGGCATCCAGAGGGAGCAGCAGGGAGAGGGCAGCCTCGTGCTGGTAGATGTGCCCGTGGATGTGCTCCTGCAGCTCCTCTGCACGCTCAAAGACCCTCCTGCAGAAGCCGCAGATCAGTCCCTTGGGCAGGGCTGGGTCTGGGAATGGGCTGTCGTGGGTTACATCCGTGCCTTCTGACCTCAAACACGCATCTGAAACGGAAACAGACACACGTGTGTACAAATCACTGCTGTTGGGTTAAAATAATGGTTGTTTCTAAAGCATTTTTACTCTCTGCTTACCTGAGTCAGAGTTATCAAATGGCCAAAGCGCCAGAAACCCATCGTAAGCAGCCTGCGAACGGAAAGCACGCTCAGGTTACGGCATGCCCATAAAGCACCCATCCTCAGTGCTCAGCCCCAGCTGGGTGGAACGAGTTGGTCTGTAAGGCTGTTCTGTCATTCCGTGATGTGATCGGGCCCCATGCTCACAGCTCACCACTTGTCCTGCCCACATCACCATCCGTACAAAGCTCCCTTTGTCACAGTGAGGTCACCAGGCTGTGCTCTGCGGGGCTGCTGCTTAGGGCAGCCACCAATGCGCCTATTTCAAGTGGTAACCAAGTTCTTGGTGTCCCTCAGCACCTGTAGCTCGCACTCAGACCAGTAGCAGACCCAGGGCACATTGCCACCAAATACAAAAGAAGTGGAAAATTTTCCCTTTGCCCCACGCAGCTGCCTTTCTTTCCATGTAGCAAAGCCCATGCAAAACTCGCTTCCCTTTACGCAATGCTCCCTGGCATTGCTAATCCACCTTATAAATAAAAGCTGATTTTTTTCCCCGTGTGCAGCGTGGCAGATGGTGGCCCAGCACGGGGCCGTGCGGCAGGGCTGCAGGCTGAAGCCCCAGCTCCTGTGCTCCGCTCTGCATGAGGAAAGCTGGGCTGCCACCACGTGGGTAGTGCCAAACTGCAGAAACTGAGAAATGCCTCAGAAAGGTATGGGTGCCCCATCCCTGGAGGTGCCCAAGGATGGGTCGCACAGGGCCCTGGGCAGGCTGAGCTGGTGCAGGACCAGCCCATGTAGGGGTTGAGAGGGCTGTACGGTCCCTTCCAACCCAACCATAATGTGGTTCTGCAATCTGTAAGAATCATTCCAACTCAACTATTAGATCCTATGGCAATTTGCTTCTAACTCTACTTAGATCACTGAAAGAAGCCCATATTCAAACCACCAGAAATGGGCAGCAGAGAGCTGGGAGCTCAGCTACCTTTACGCCATTATTAATGGAAAAGTATGAATAGCTTTTAGAATGCACACTGAGGTTAGGAAGAAGATATAAGGGCAGCAACAGCTCTGACCCTAACAGACCTCTAGTTTTAAAATGACCTCTTTTTAAAATGACAGCTAAGATATTGGTGGTATATTGGCTTCTTGCAATAATCTAAGGGGTCAGAACCACCGTCCCTGCAGGCGTTCAAGCACATGGAGATGTGGCACTGAGGGACACGGTCAGTGAGCAGGGTGGGATGGTTTGGGGTTGAACCTGGGGAACTTGGAGCTTTTTTCCATGGCCATGGTCTTTCAAAGCTCTCCTGACTGGAGATAACTGGATTCTATTGACACCTTTGCCTTTCTCCCCATGATCTTACCTGGGTGGAGGAGGGCAGCTCTCCTTTCGCGGTGGCTTCTGGTGACATGTCACCAGAGGAGCAGCTGGCGGGGGGGCTCTGAGTGGCAAGGTGTGCTGCAGGCAGCGGGGGGGACGCAGCTTCCACTTTGCCATCACTTTCGCCCCTGGAACGACTCCATTTGGTGCCAGGCCCTGGAGAACACAGGAAACGAATCTCACCCGCGTGCACCAGCACCAGCTCAGAGCAGGGACGGGCAGAGACCTCCTGGCACTGGGGGCTCTGCTGGAGGATGGGCGCAGCTCTCAGGGAGCGCCGCTGCCAGCACAGCACCGGGAGCTTCACAGAACGCACACACAGGTGTGGCTGTAACTGAGGTTTCCTGGAAATGGACGCTGGAGCTTTGGACCTCAAAACTGGAGTTATTTAACGCAGCCTTGATCTCAAAGTGCTTTATAAAAGATGGAAAAATACAGATACATGTGGCTTTGACGCTATTCCTAGCAAGCAGGAAGTTCCAACAGTTGTACAAAGCGATTCAATCACACCCGATAGTTGTTCCATTCCAAAACCCTGCTGTAGGTGAGCAGGAAACCATTGCTGGTGTGATGGAAGCAGAGCACAGCCACCCACTGCCCCTCAGCAGCCAGCAGTACACAACATCCCAATGAAGAGAAACCCTACAGAAAAGAGATCTGCACGACGAAGACCAGCACGTGACAACTGGCTGACCAGCAGCCAGCACCTGACTGCACCATGCTAATGGTGCACTGGGCTGGTCTTCTCTTTATTATTATTTTTTTGGATGAGCAAGTAGGTGAAGTCAGAAGCAAACACTGCACGGAAGTCAATTCATAGTTAAAGCATTATGCCCTGAAGGATTTTCATTTTTAATACAGAAGTGTACCAACAGAACACAAGAGCAGCCCTCCTTAATGCAGCAGCAAACAGCAAAGCTGATGCTGTGCTGGAGCACAATGCCCTCATCTGGGTCACAACGTGGCACTCATGTACAACTGCACAAAGGTTTCTAAATCCAAACAATCCCAAACTTTTATTATTATTAAATAAATCAGCTCTCAAACAACACAACGGCACCAGCGTGATTTTTTTAAACAATCACTGATGTTTATTTGGGTTTAACTAGTGTAAATAAGGCAGGAGGAGAAACCCATACGAATGACTCACCCTTCGTACGTGAGAAATGAATTTGTTTTGTCCCATTCTGACCAGTATGGTGAGAAACCATTTTCCCTTACAAATTTCCATCTGTTGAATTTTAATGAAAAGTATTTTCACTTTTAAATGGGGAATGAATCGCTTCCCTTTTGCCAGCTCTGCACAGGGATGCACTGGGTTAGCAGTGCTATGTGAGCACAGCGTTCCCTGGCAGCTGGACAGCATGCTGCTGTGGGAAACAGAGAGGAAAGGTTATCACATCTCATCTACAATTACACTCATTCTCCCCTGAATCTTGTTTTCCCCCCCGTTTTAAAATTACACACCAAACTGAATACCTTTAATTCCCATTTGGGAAACTGACTGCTGTGCAAAATGTATTTCTTTAACACGTTGTGCAAGTATAAATTATTGGCCCCAATGAACTAACTAAAAATAAAGCATTAGCTGGTTTGCCCAAAAGAAAAGAGCTCTGTGTGCCATGCAATCTTTCGGACAACAAGCTCCATAGGAATTGCTTCTATAAACAGTTTCAGTTGCAAGAGGGTAAACAGGAAAAGCCAAACTTAGAGCCACAAAGCAGCGTGCAATGGAGTGCTCTGGAGGAGGAGAGCTGCTCCTCGGGGCAGCCCAACCCAACCACCCTCAATCTGAAACGCTTCCTTGTAGAAGAAAAAGCAAAACTAAGAATAAGGAGAAAACAAAGATGTGAATTAACCAACTTATTCCCTGAAGTGTATTAAAATTCTCATTCTTTGGATAATACTTGGCAAAAACATCTAAAAGCATCCAACCGAAGCCTTTGAGATTTTGTAGCTGTGGTGTAACTACACGTAGCAACGCTACCAAAGTTCAGCACTGTCCCACCAAGGAGCTCCAGCACTGCTGAAGCTGGAAAGTGGCAAAGAGCAGCCCCAAAACCATGGAAAGAAAGGGAAAGCTGAAACTCTTACAGCATCTTATCAGAAGAACAGCCCCGAACCAGGCCATGCAGGTTCAGTAACCAGTAATATCCAGGCTGCCCATAAATAACTCACATATTTCTTTCTCCAAAACCTCTACATCCAGGTTTCTGACTGCACAGTAGCAGTCAATCTCAAGCACGTGCCACGAACATCACAAACCCTGAGAGCCACTCAGCCACCCACCCAGCCATTCACCCAACCATTCATCCATCCAACCACCCATCCAGCCAAACAACCACCCAGCCATTCACACAGCCATCCAGCCAGTCACCCTATCAGCCACCCAACCATCCACCCAACCAACCAACCAACAACACTGCTATTCATCCATCTACCCATCCACCCATCCACCCAACCATCCATCCATCCATCCATCCATCCATCCACCCATCCATCCATCCATCCACCCACCTATCCATCCATCCATCCATCCATCCATCCATCCATCCATCCATCCATCCATCCATCCATCCACCCATCCATCCACCCATCCACCCATCCATCTACCCATCCATCCATCCATCCATCCATCCATCCACCCACCTATCCATCCATCCACCCATCCATCCATCCACCCATCCATCCATCCATCCATCCATCCATCCATCCATCCATCCATCCATCCATCCATCCATCCATCCATCTATCCATCCATCCACCCATCCATCCACCCATCCACCCATCCATCTACCCATCCAACCATCCATCCATCCACCCATCCATCCACCCATCCATCCACCCATCCACCCATCCATCTACCCATCCAACCATCCATCCATCTACCCATCCAACCACCCATCCATCCACCCATCCACCCATCCATCCATCCATCCATCCATCCATCCATCCATCCATCCATCCATCCATCCATCCATCCATCCATCCACCCATCCATCCATCCATCCATCCATCCATCCATCCATCCATCCATCCATCCACCCAACCACCCACTCACGCCACCCAGACAACAAGATACAGGAACTTTCCCTCCTGCTTTTAAGTGAGTTTGAGTTGGTTGATTTCAGAAACGCTGTACTTTGGCCTGCCCATACCACAGCAGTGCAGTGACGCTTGTTTTGATGCAGACAGAATCGCTCCTCACATCCTGTGCCTCATTTTCCATTTACTGAACGTTAAGTAATTTCACACCTCATATATCGGAACAATGTACAGTGAATTAGGAAAAAAAAGAACACGAGTAAAATGAAAACCTTGGGATATCCTCTATTAACTTTTACAGCAGTGTGAACTACGTGGAAGTAAATTGAAACTTGAAATGTACGGAGTAACTTTAGAGATTTACGTCCCCTTAGGAACGGCCCATCAGCATCGTGTGCCCCTCTGCTCCGCACCACAACTGGGGCTGCTCCTCCAGAAATGAGAAACCAGTGTTCAAGCTGCTGTGTGAGTCAGCTCCTCGCTGCGTCAGCGCGTAGGAAAACACAAAGACAACGCAGTGAGAGCAGTTAAGATCCAAAATAGGTTTTTTAAACTCAGGAGAGATTAATGGCTTAAAAGTTCTGGAGATCGGTGCGCTTGCTTTTCCAGTCGGACAAATGAAGATGGCCACATGCAGTGCTGGCGTGGGTATTTGAAAAAGAACCTCATTCGTTGTGCTCCCCTCCCTTTTTCGGGAGGGTGTAACCCATACGACTCAATATCCTCAACCTGTGTTTGACAAAAAGCATCAGAAACACCCACAAAGCAAGCACCAAACCAGACTGGGTTTTAGGATCCCTATACTCTTATCATTTGCTTTGCAGTCATATCGTATTCGAGAAGGACCACTTGAAAAACAAGACAGCAAGAAGCAGCATCAGAACTTCAAGTGACTGAAAGAAGTAGATGTCTGTGATTGAAGAATGTAAGAAATAAAAAAAAAAAGCCCTGAACCAGCCACAGAGCATCCACAGCCATCGACTGCTGCCACAGAGCTGCAGACACAGCCAGCAGTTCAGCTCTTTGTCTTAAGCAATTCACTTACAGAAAGATGAGATAATTAAAGCTGAGGTGAATGGAATCCAAGTACCAATAAAGGGACCGGAAACCCCGGAGTGGAGGGGACCCTCCTGAGTCCACTGGGATTCCTCCCACTTCTAAATCCATCCAGCTTTGTTGCAGACCCAGCTGGTTTCCTGCCAACCCCACGCCTGCACCAGATCCCCACTCCTCAGCTGCTGAGGGAATCTTTAACTTCTCATCCAAAGTTAAGAGTGGTTTGCATGACTGGTTGGTACTCATTTATCTTTCAGCAGAGCAGTCCTTCAGCTTCTAAGGAAAACCCAAAACGCTCCAACCAAAAGCGAGATGACAGATGGAGTGCAGTCCCATTATCACTGCACTTCATCATGACAGAAGACGAAGCCACCGATTCCAGCTGCCATCAATCACAGCCCCCAGCACCGTGCATCGATCACGGCAGCCCTGCAGCAGCCACACTCTGCACAACCCCACCACCAGCCCATAGGACGCCCAGCAGCAGCCCACCTTCAACCTTCTACGTCTGGCTTAATTGGAGACAGACACTGAACTACTGCAGGAGTAACAGCAACGCTGCATTAGCAATTTCCCCCAGACATCTGAACGGCACAGTAAGGTACAAAACATTTATTTTCTTTCTAAATTCAGACGTGGGAAAGGAAAAGAGGTTCCAGGGCATCAGATAGTCCAGTTATTTCCCTTTATCACCCACCCAAGCAATCATTGAAAGTTATCCTTTTCTTTGTCATTGAGGAAAGTCAAAATACAACAGATATCTGAAGTGAATTTTCATGCCATTTAATTGGTCCATTTTCTTTGTATAGATTAAAACACTCTTTCTGCTGGAAGCTAACAAGTAGTACTCAGGCACTCACAGCTCGCTCTGTTTTGTCACATCCTATCTTCTGAAGGCATTACAACAGAGCATTGATACCTTCTCTTTCTTTGCACAGTAGAGAATCCACCTACTTTACAATAGCAACGAAGAAAATACAGAAGTACACCGAGAGAAGTGCTGAGCACAGCCTGGTACAAGTTGGCTGTCCCCAACAAGTCACCCACAGAGAGCCACTCATTGCACAAGTGTCACAGAACAGTTAGCAGCTGCTCATCACTTACAGGTCTGGCCATAAACAGCAGAAAGTAAGGACTGAGTGATCTACAAAACCAGAGCTGCTTTTATGAGAACAGGAGCAACATTCCGCTCTCAGCATGAGCCAGTTTGGGATTCAAACCATTTCCAGCTACAGAAGGACCCCAGCACTTTGTGCTTTGCTGGTAGCCAGGGTTTTGCAAACAAGAACAACAGACGTTTGACAACAGGAGCTCCACGCACGCCTCACACTCCTTCCTCTCACAGAGTCAGCAGTCAGCATTAGAGTTGGATCAATACCAGACACAGGCTTCCAAATCTCACGGCAAGTGCGATTAAGCAGAGCTCAGTACCGGATGCAAACACAACAGCAGCAACAAACAGGACAGCGACCCGTGTTGTTTTTTCTTCTCGCCAACGCTTCCACTTCAAGCACCAACAGACAAACAACACAAACCCACAAACTTACGAGAGAGAGAGTGCGTGCCTTTGGGTAAGTACTCGAAGAGCAGGGAGCTGTCGTCGCCCAGCACGTCGGCCTTCAGCGACAGCAAGCTGTTCTTGCTCATGAGTGCTGCACGCAGGTTGGCGACGGTGGCAGCTTGCAGTGCATCCTCCCTGTCCAGGGGGGGCTGCGGCAGGTAGCTGCCCTCCCCAGCACCCAGCAGCTGCTCCTCGCTGTGCACAAACGGGTCCGGCCGCTCCCCCCGGCTGTCCGAGCTGCTGGGCTCTGCTGCCGTCACGTCAGCACCTGTGCAGGGAGAGATGCCATCAGCAGGACGCACTGGGTACACCTGATGTCACCTGGTGTCCATCTGTGACCCCGAGCACAAGGTGACCTTCCAGTGCTTCCCCCGCTGCAAGTATTGAACACCAAGAGCGAACAGCCTGTAACAGGTTAAGTGTGCTTGTTGATGTGAAGTAGCTCTCCGCCGTATCTGTTGTCTTCACAATCATAAAGCTACCCACAAAAAGAAGTTGCTGTGCCACTCAGGAATGCTCCAAACACTGCAGTTCCTCTGCCTGGCACCTGCAGAAGCAGAGCACCTTCCCCCATCTGCGTTTGATTTCTCCAATTGCACACTATCAGCAAATCAAAGAATCCTTGCTTTGATTTTTATTGCTGGGTGCATATTCCATACTACCTCTGCAAGTGAGCGCGACGTTAACAGGCACATGCATTTCTCCTACAAGATAATGAAGTTCATTTTACAAACATTTCCACGTAAAGGGAAGTTACAAGAATTTAAAGCACAACAGCTGCCCCAATAGAGGGTGAAGAAAGCAAATCAAAGTGCATTGAAACAGGAACACATCCCAGTCAAAGCAGGGACAGCTGCAGGAGCCTCATCCAGGTGTTTGCCAACCCCACGGGCAGCAGATCCCTCCCCTCCTCCTGTGCCATCTCAGAGCTGCCCATGGACATTTCACGACGTGCCGCTGGCTGCACACAGTCACTAATTGCTAAAACACACACAGATTAATTGCAACCCCAACAATGCATTAAATGTTCCTCAAAAGCCAAGATTAGAGGCAGGTGGTGAAATAGAGGCTCTGGAGCTCCCAGTATTTATAGTCGCAGTAACCTAATCAACCATCCACCTAGTGACATAAGCATCAAAACACTCTCTGTACACCTAAACCCAAAAAGTCATCGAGTTCCTCTTCCCGAGATTCCAAAACCACTTTTCTCTGGGATGCAGCTCCTTTTAATGGGATTGAGCCAAAGAATTACACAAATCAAAAGCATCCGTCCCTGCCCAGCAATCCAACCACGTCCTGCAGCTCTGCAGAAGCACACAAACCAAGACCTGGGCAGCACGCTCCCAAAGGGCTGCAGCACTGCAGCTCCCAGCCCTTGGCCATGCCCTGATCCACTCCCAGCCCCAGAGCTGCCCTGGGATTAGTGCTGAGCTTATTAGTCTCCTTAGCAATTAATTATTTGGTAGTTATTCTCTTACACCAGCCTGCTTTCCGGAGCGTTGAAGCTTTAGAAAAGCTTTATGAGACTGTTGACTTGGATTAATAATTCACTGATTTTGGTTTTAAAAAAGCCAAAGAGGCATCTCTGAAACTTTGATATTAGCTTGGAAAGTTCATATTTACACACAAAAACCTAAGATAAAAAGGATCATTGGAAGCCTGAGTACAGAAACCCACACGTGGCACCACTACTGCCATTCAAAAAGAAGAGATGTTACTTGAAAGATAAATAAGCTCAGATCTTGTCACAAATCCAGGCATCAGAAAAGCAAAGGCAAGCCAGCAGCCTACCAACTACAGTGCATCAGCATCAAGGTTGTCACTGTAAGGAATTCAGCCTCAGGTAGTTTTCAGCTTTGAAACAAAGCTGTGGTGCCCACAAGCGAAGCAGCTCTGCATGCAGCTCCTGGGGAAGGGCTGTGTGGAAACCAAGGTGATGCAGTGCACCAACAGCAGTTCTGCTGAAGGCAGCTGATCCCCAGGACTTAAGCTAGGGAACGCTGTGCCAGGCTGCAAGTCCTGAACGGCCTTCTTTCCCTCCAGCCTCACAAGGCAAGAGGCCATATTCCACTCCACCATTTTACAATCATGCACAGAAAAACACTTCCATCCCAGAGAATCGTGGAGAAGAGCTTCCAGATGAAGTCCAACCATCAGCCCATCACCACCCCTGGAGGCATCCAGGCACTGTGGAGATGTGGCACTCGGTGGGCATGGTGGGATGGTTTGGGATTGAACTTGGGGATCTTGGAGCTCTTTTCCAACCCCAATGATTCTATTCTACGATTCAACATCCCAGGTCATTTTCTCTTGAAGTGAAATGAAGGCTGGTGAGGGTGAGGTTGGTGAGGGTACAGAAGATTTCACCCTCTTTGTGTATGAAATACAAGAATATTTCATGCTGAGTATTTCAGTTACAACAATGTAAGTTACCCAGTTATTCATACAGCTCAAGCATGAAGTAACTTCCAAAGATAATTAAGCTTGCTATTTTAAGAGAAAGAGGAAAAAGACCGATTCCTTCCTCCTTTTGCTCCCACAGACGGCACTAACCAACATACTGACAGACAGGTTACTCCTGGCGTGCTGTTGATCCTGATGAAGTAGAACAGATGACCTCCCTGTTGGTTTATGGAGCTTCAACTACTATTCAGCTACTGCTTTTTCAGTCTTTAAGGTCTCCTATGGAGGCTCTTTCTGCAGACAGACGACCAGCAGTGCTCTCCCTTCCACAGCCTCTCCTCACACACAGCATCCTCCAGCCCATCCCCACGGCATCTGCAGTCCTGCAGCTGGAGACGGCCAGGCAGGGCCCTACACCTTAGATGTGCTCTGCCTTCCCTGCTCCTCACAGCACAGCCCAGACACATGCACTCCCAGGCTGCCAGGCACGAGTCTCCTGCTCAGCTTGCACCACCAGAACACATTTTCTGCAAAGCTGCTCTCTCGCTCGTTGTCTGCCAACCCGTGCTGATGCACAGGGTTATTCCGTGCCATGCACAGGACTTTGCATTTGTCCTTGTTGAATCCGTGCTGTTTCTGGCACCGTTGCATTCCAGCAAATCATTCCTCGCCGTCTGGTGCCATCCTACAGCGTGCTGAGGGTTTGCTCTGTGCCACCAAGTCCTCGATGACCACAGGACACAGCCCTGGAGCCACCTGTGATCAACGCGGGCACCATGCCGTCCCTGGTGGCTCTGACACAGCTGGATGGCAGCTGGGGGGTGGGTGGCAAATGTCACCGTTTCCTTCACAATGTGACAAGCAGAAAGGGCAGAGGGATGTGAGGGAAGAGATGCCAACACCAGCTTTCTTATCCCCAAACGCTCATTCCTGCATCCGTTTATTTTTAATCCCAGATCAGTTCCACAATCTGGTTCACTCCATGGTTGCACAGACATTTCCACCAGAACAACTGCAGGAGAGCGTGGGGGTGGAAATGGAGCTCGAGGGGAAAGCAGGGCCACTGAAACTCAGCTTTCCTGCACTGGCCATTAACTCCTCCTGCTGCCGAGTGCTGACCTGAGAGAAAAGCTGGGTGAAATCAATGATGGTGTTCTGAGCTGCCCCATGGATCTGTATGGAGCATCTGGACATGCCTCTGATACCTCAAACTTCAGGAATGACATTTCTTGCCCAGATTAAGGAAAATGCAGCTTGATCTCCTCATGTGCAAGCGACTCAAGCCTTTGCATACCGGCCTTTTCCTCCTGAGCAAAGACAACAGGAGCAGCCGGGCCATCAGAAAAATGACAATTTTTTTACAGCTGCTAGAAATATCCCTCCAGTTTCTATTTCTGACAGCCCCGCGCCCATCCTTCACCACGCTGCCACAACAGACTGCTTGTCAGACAAAGCCCAGTGTTCTCAGGCAGTGTTTACAGAGAGAAACGATGCCACGACCCACAGCTGTTCTGATCAGCAGCACTTTCACTAACACAGTAATGCACACATGGATGTAATGCTCATCATGTTCCAAAGAAGCCCCAAATTCACAGTTCAGGAGCTGCAGAGATACAGGTTCTAATGTGCAATGCTTTCCCCTTCTGCACAAGCACGACCCAACTTTGCACTGACACGTTCTACAAGCACCGCTGTATCTGCAGCGTTGTTTCCTTCAAAGCAATGGGCTGCAGGCAGAAACCAGCTGGGAAACCCTCTTCATTCCTCCGAGGATCTTAAAAAATATCACGTCTGAAATGATGGAAATGGTTAAAAGGGGCGAGTTAATTCTATCTGAAACTACTGCAATTGGAATACTGAGGTGGTCCTTGCATGTGACAGCATGCCAAGTAACTGTACCTTCCAAATCCTTCAGAACAAGTACTTATGAAACAAATGCCTGTAAGAAATCTTCTCCCAAAAAACACCCTGAACCAAAATCAAAGCTGAGACCAACACGGCACAATCAGTTTTCATTTTTGGTTCACTGCATCTAAAGAACGAATTCCTCCTCCGTGTGAACACAAAGGCATCGCTGCGAAGGCGAAAGTGAAAGTCCTGCGCAGACAGATGATCTCAAAGTGGGATCTAAATCTAAACCCTTCATTTCTCACTGCTGGGAATCGCAGTACAGAAGGGTAAAGCAGAACAGCTGTGAGGAGGCAATGGGTCCAACCCTGGCACAGGGAACAGAACCCAGCGAGAAGGGCACTCAGCAGAGGGGAAGCCTCTGATCTCAGGAGTTAAAGCAGATTAATGGAATCAGGGCTGCGACTCGGGGAGGAGGAAGAGGAGGAGGAGAGCTCTGGAGCCCAGGGAACGTGGAGCGTGGGGTGGGGAGAGGAAATGGACACAGCTCAGAGCTAAAGCCGTGCAGGGTGGAACCATTTTGCAGCCAGGGTGTAGCCACGGGCAAGCGGCCGGGCTGCAAAGCACTGACTTTGGTCTCCAGATTTGAAAACAACCCGAACTAACCCTTTAATAACAGAGCTCAGAACCGTTATTCCCATGAAAGCTGCACCCCAATAGCTCATTAGCTTGGGGCTGGCTCTCCCCACAGCCTCTATGCAAAATGTTTTTGTAGCTGCTGGCACAGCTGCCACACAGAAAGCCAGGCAGCACCAGCAGGCAGCCCGGGACATGGGAGCAGCAGCCTGTGGGCACCTCTGCCTTCCTTTCTACGACCAGCTCCTGAGGACAGTGAAGTGTTCATAAGTAAAGCCACAAGTTCTGCATTTTTGCAAAACCAAAGATCTTGTGAGTTTCAACTGCTGAACCTCAGGTACCAACACCATGTCGAGTTCCTCCCCTGCTCACAGTATTTCAGGCCCTTACTCCTTCACACGACCAGAACACTTGCCAAGCAGCACAGCAGAAGCACCACCGCTGGCACTGTCCAAAGGTGCTCAGTGCACAGATGTTCACAGCGCACATGCACACAGCCAGGACCCCAACTATAACATGAATACAGCCAGAGGAGAAAAGCTTTCCCATTCTGCAGCCTCCCATCTGCAGCCTCCCATCACTCCAGATGAACACATTATCACATTGTGGGCAGGTGAGCAGACTGCTGTCCCATTGGAGCACCCCCTGATGTCCCACAGCAACAGAAGATCCCTGCTCTGATGATCAGTGCATCACCCAAAAACGTGCCCATGCTTCTCCTCCACGACAGAGGGCACCTGGGCAGAGTCAAAGACTTGGATGGGAAACATCAGACCTACATGGTCAGAAGGTGAAGCCCTGTGCACCCCTCCCATAAGGTCACCACTCTGGGTAACGTAAAGCTCTTCTTACAGAATAGAGCATTTCCACTGCATTTAAACAAAGTAAAGGGAGAAGTTCCCGTGCTGCAAGTGTCTTTAAAAATGACTGTTCTGTTTAGAGAATAATTAGTGTCATTTCACAGTCAATTGGCACAAAAAAAAAAAGGATCGCTTACATCTTTAGGGTGCAAACACTCAGAAGACGCGTGGGAGCACTTCCTTAGGAATAAATTCCTGATTCAGTGACTGTGCTTGAAGTAACACGTTAATAAAACCATCAGTGAATTCTTCCAGAGACACCCCCCAAGTGGCAGTGCTTTCCAGCATACGGAAAGGCAAAAGCAGCTCTGCTAGTGAGAGCTTTGAAAACACCACCAGCACCGCCGGCAGCCCCTCTGATGTGCCACCAGCACAAGAAGCCTCAGCACTGAACGGCAGTGAGCTGACAGCTGTCTCCAAAGCAAACTTTCAGTGACTGCAGTGAGTTTCCTTCTACGGTGTCACAAAGTGCTCCCTTACAGCTGCTGCCCCTCACTGAACTAAACGTGTGATGCCGCTGTCATCTGCAAGATCCACCTTCCTTAACGCTGCTCCCGTCCTGCTGAGACGCGGTGCTGATTGCAAGGAAGACTAAGAGGTTATCTGGCACAACGTCAGGAGGAAGATGCTAACACTGTAGTTTTAAGATTAAGTCTCCTGAATTAGCTTTGTGCTGCTGGAATGCCTGTGCTAGTCCTCTAGCACAACAGCATTTTCAAAGGGTACCCAGGCTATCCCGTATGCAGAGCTAGCAGATCTCACAAGCAGCATCTTAAAATAACCAAACAGATCCAGAAAGATAAAGGAGCTTCAAAGAACACAGTTTGAGGTAACTCTTCCTCTGAGCATACTCACGAAAGAGCATTCTGCACCCACTTCCTCAGCACAGGGCACCCTTTTGTCTCTGCTCTCTGCAGCGTGGCTGTGAACGCTTCTAACTGCAGGCTGCTTTACAGAGTAAAGCCCAACACTACCAAATTCAAACACTGCCTTAAGATGAAATTTAAAGAGTGAAGCACACATCCCAGTACTGGTGACACAGCACAGACAATTGTTATTACCTCTTTTTACACCAAAAAAGTGCCATTTTTCTTCACGTCTTGGAGCTAAGTGTGGATCACCCCTTGGCTGCTTTGGAGAGATAAGAACCAACAAGCAACCTGGGTGGAACCCCGCAGCTCTGCAATAGCAGAGAGCGGACTGCAGGAGGGCTGCTTCCACCTGCTGGAGATGGGGAATACTTGTGCAGTGTTCAGCAGACCTAGAGACCCTCCTGCCTGGAGAGAGGCAGTGGGACAGCGGTGTTTGGGGCAGCAGGGATGTTCTCTGGTTCTCTGCACACTTGTTCTCACTCTTCAGCAGCCCACAAGGAAGAATTTCATCTCTGCTTACTTCCCAGGCTGGTGAATACAGGGAAAACCAGGAGCTGAGGTTCGGCAGGGCCATTTCACAGAGCCCCACGCTGCTCCCAGAGCAGTGCCCAGGTGCTGCCAACACACACAGCCCCGTGCCGCTCAGTCCTGGCACTCCACTCACCTCACATTCACTTTTTCCCTTTGCTCAATCAGGACGAGTGGAATATTGAAGCAATTGCCCCCAGCCACCAGCACTCAGCTTGCCCTTTTCCATCTTCACAAACACCTCTCTCATTGGAAACTGCGTTTAGGACAAGATTTGCAACAAGCTCTTGGGCTGTGCCTGTTACCATGCTGGCTCAGCACTGCTCTGCGTCAACACCAGGAGCTGCGTTCCTCTCATCTGCTAACAGCTGTAAAGAAAAGGGCACTTCTGCTCAATTCCCTGACAATTAGGACTTTAATGATGCAGACATCATTCAGCTTCCAGTAACACAATCTCCTACTCTTGGCACTCTTTTCAAAAGCACGACTTGAAGAACATTCCATTTAGAAGCAGCTTGCTGAGGTCAGTGCTGCAGTTCTGTTTCTGCACAGCTTGCCTCAAATACCTGTTCCAAGCCCCCGCACCTCACAGAAATACAAGTGTTTGAGTTGGTTTTAAGGGATGCAGTGAAAATGAATAACATTTGAGTGCCAATCGCATTCCAGGCACTCCACACCGAGTCTCTGCTCCAAACAACCCTAGAACACGTGCACTGCAAAGCCAGGATTCATCATAAATCACTGTTATCTTAAGTTATCTCACATTTTTCTTCTAACTGAAGTTGTTTAGATTTTATCATCAGCCAATTAGAATAATTACATGCAAGTCTACTGCAGTAGATAACTGTAAAACGTAATACTTCTGAAGATACTTGCAGAGTTACCCATTCATTTAAATGCCAATGAAAGCCACATTCAAACTTCGGTATGCAAGCAACTTACACATCCTTTTTCAGCCCATAGTGACTATTCAGACTTTCACCATGTTTATATTGCTTTTTTCACCCGAATTTGACAACAGAGCCGTATATATAATCTCACCCACCCCTCTTGGATTCTGGTATGCAATGAAGCATAGGCCAACCCCTATCACAACCTGAATTCCTCAAGTCAGCCTAAGGGAGCTCAATGCCACACTCTCTCTGAAGTCCTCATGGAAAAAAACACCAAACCCAACATCACCAGCAGCCCTGGATCTATTAATTGCCTGTGGTCAGCGAATCAAGCAGGACAGCCATCATAACTCTAAAGAGAAAAGATTGTACCATGAAAAGATGCAACTGACTCAACTTTTCTCATGTCAGCCACGCAAGCAGAATGACTTACTTGGATCTCGACTGCTGTACGGCCATCCTGAGGCAGGTAAAAAAGATGGCATTGGAGAACTTGCTCTGCTGTCATCCTCTACTTGCTGTGTAATGTGACGCACAGTTTCTTTGTTTTTCCTGTTCTTCCTGCGCCCCGTGGGCTGCCAGCCATCCCCCACTCCTTGCTCTGAGAAAGCGTTCTGTATTGCACTATCCTTGGCAGAATGCAGTTCATTCCCTCCATAATGAGAGGGAGAAACCTGTTCCTCTTTGATACGTAAAGACCCATAGCCCATGTCACTGGACCAAAGCGACTGGGACGAAACGTCTTCGTGGCTGTCAGTTTTTGGTTCCGGATCCTCCTTCCCATAACTGCTCCCTCCTTCGTGGCAGCTGGCGATAGCAGAATCTCCCGAAGAGTTTGCTGGACTCGTCCTCCGAGCCAGCCACGGCGATATGCTCCTGCCAGCCACCACTGCTGAGATCAGAGCGTCCGTGCTGCTGCTGGAGGGGGCTCCCAGCTCGTAGTCCACAAGGTCATCCGAGGCATCTGACTTGATGCTTATGTCCAGAGCTGCCTTGATGAAGTTGTGGCAGGCCTGCACGATATCCGTCATCTGCAGGTAGCTGGCAGCAGACATCACCTCGATGACGTTCCTGCTGGTCAGCGCTAGGTGTGCAGAATACATGAAGTCAATGATTGCCTTAAAGCCTTGTGCAGTGACAATGTCTAAGTGGGTGACCGTGGCCTGGTCGGAGGTTTTCTGTACCTGGCAGTACAGCGTTTTGAAGTAGCGACTGCTCCCGAGCAGCACGTTTTTGTGAGCCTTGAAGATCTTCCCCTCCACGATGATGCAGACGTCGCAAAGGATGCCGTGCTGCCGCTGCTCGTTGAGCTCCCGAAGCAGGTGCCGGTAGTGGGAGGCAATCTCCATATCTTCCTTTCTGTTATTCATTTGGAAGTCTTTGTGTTTCCTCTTCCACAAGTCCTGCAAGGAGAAGGAAACATCCAAACAAGTTCAGATCAGTCCCAAACTGCACCACGTTCAATAGCAGGTGCACCTTGAACATGCCCTGCAGAATACAAGAGTTGCCCAGGAAGGGTCCGTGTTTATGATGTGGAGCATACTTGTTAATAATTGTTGTTAAAAGGGACTAAATGTGAAGCTCAGTCCTACGTCACCTCAAAATATCCCAGAGAAATGTTTCTTTACGTCGTTACAGACCTGAAAGAAAACCTGTCTGGAGTTACTGGGGTAGAACAGCCACTGATTGTCGCTGTTTGGGTTCAGTAAGATTGGGTTTGGATACAAGTCGGGCACATGAAACCATGCTGAAATCACTGAAACAAAATTTCCTCATGGAAAAAAGCATTATGAGAGCAGGAATAGCTGAAATCCCCCAAGAGCACAAGCTGACTGAAAGCAGCTACTGCCCTCGCTGAGGGGCTGTGAACTGCTCTCAAGTCAGAAAAGCAATAGGCAAAATCTGAGACTATGGATCACAACATTTCAAGTCCCCACCCAAACCAAACCAGCACTGGACCAGAGCTATGATATCAATTTCACTTGAAGCTCAACTACTTACAAGCACAACCTTTACAACTTCGCAGTAAAACCTGCTGTTTCCCTGGCTCCGCATCCCCAAGTTTTCCCCACCAGCCTAAGATGCTGGGTGAAAAAATGCAATAAATCACAGCTTTTCTTCATAAGAGAGGTGCTCCAACCCTACAGTGGTGAGGGATAACTATTCCTTTCCTCCAAAATGTTGAATTTGTCCCAGCATAAGAAGCTCCAGCAGCGAAGCTGATATTGAGGCCCACATCTCAACACACAACTGTAAAACGTGTGTGTGCTTGGAGTGTCACCACGGACAGGCACATCCTGGATTTAGGACACTGCTGATTGCTGATAAAAACAAAATCCCTGTGAGAACACAACCCTGAGCTCTCCCAGTCCCAAAGGGTATGTGATTAAATATAAGTGCTGCCAACAAGGCTGAGTGAGTTTGCAGCACCTTTTCAACACACACACAGTTCACATCCACATTCAGTCCCATCTGTTCAAACCAAGCAGCAGCAGTGGGCAGGCCTAGGGCAGCCACGATAGGAAACTTCACTGATGCGTGCAGGAGGGTTTCCAGCACTGGGGAACACAGATATCTAAGATCCATGCCCTTGTCTGTGCTATTAATACAACCTCCAGAAGCCAACAGCTGAGCCAACACCGTTGGCTGGGGAACGAGCCCACAGAACACACACCCAGCATCTCCCTGCTAGAGCTCCACCTGACGATTCACAAGGTTGAGTTATGCAGCTGTTGCCTGCACAGACCTCCTCCGTTCTGTAGGAATGGGGCTGTCTCCTCAGCAGGGTCAGGAGTGCTAATTTATGAGAGCAGCTGGTCTCTCATCACTGAAAGCCATTGGCTTCCATCAAAAAGGAAGGCCCACGCTCCTTCCTGCAACACCAACAGGCAGAATTGGGATTTATGTGCTTCAACTCTGTGCAGCTCTTCTGTAGAATTAAGCACAAAAGACATGAAGAAGCTTATCTTCACGTGAAGGTGATCAATACAGTGTGGCTCTACACTATCCAAATGCTACTACATATGAGACCTACCCGGGAACTTTAGCTCTGGCCACCTCCATCTAAATAAATACACAACCAGGAGTCAGAATTGAGGAGCAAGAACATGAAGAACTGATCTGTAAAATGGCCTCTGAAGGCCTGGAATGGCCCTGTCAGACCCAGGCAGCATAGATGCTCTCTAACGCACGCACTGAAGGTGGCTGCCACTGCTTCACAGCCACCTTCAGCTTTGGGAGAACCACCTACGAAGGCAGAGTGACAGCTCAGTTTTGTCTTTATTCCAGAAACCACTGCTGCATCTACTTTTAGGAGCTGAAGAGTCGGCTTTGCTCCCTCAGGAAATACGAATTGCCACGCAGGATCAAGAGAGTTGTCCATCATCAATCCTGCCTCCACCAGCTGCCGCAGCCACGTGATGCTGAGGGAGATGCAAGACATCTCACAACACAGCCATGCAATGATCCCAAGGCTCCGGATCTGGCACTTCCTTTTGCTCTTGCACAGGTAACAAAATCCAGTCTTCAAGATAGGATCTCCCTGGATCTGCTTGGAAAAAGAATTGTCTACTGCAAGGTAACTTTCTCTTCCTCAATTTAATACAGATTAGCATCTGGAATATCTGTCAATATCTTCATTGTGCTTTAATGCAACAACAGCTTTTCCTGCATTTCTTCTTTAATGTCCTGCAGCTAGAAATTACCCTGATTGCTTGAGATTTTCTTTCTTTACTACTTTAGATGTTCATTGAGCTTAGCTCAGTGCATGGCTGGGTTCCCCTTGCTGTTGATAGCAGCCTGTTTCAGATACACCTCATTCCTTGTTAAAGCTGCCTATGCCAGCAACCTGGATTAGGCATTTGTCTCCTTCTACCTTCGCTTTAGAGCAGAGCAGTCTGAGCAGCAGACTGACTAATCCACCGCTTCTGATGGATGAAGCACTTGCTAGCTTGTTTATGAAATAGCTTCCCTCTGACTTAATTTCCTATCAAGAGATTTTTTACTAACCACAGAACAAAAAATAATAAAAGATTCCTCCCTGGCTTCCCTCCCGCCTGCTGACAGCAGACACCCTGCAGCCACGCAGCCCTGTGCATGCCCACATCCCCAAGGGCTGGGGACAAGAGCTGGAGGTGCCTTCTGGACAGGAAAGCAATCTGACGTTCTAAAATAATAAAAAGAAGATAATAATGCACGTTAAAACAACGCGAAGATGCCCTGTGCAAATGATGGCAACTCATCTTTGTTCCAAAGGACTTAAACCCTAGGTATTAAGAGAGGTGAGTGGGGAAGACACCCACTGCAAAGAGCAGCAGCCCTCCATTGGGAGGAGGTCCTGTGTCAGCAGTGAAAGGAAAGATGCTGAGTTTTACTGATTACCTGTGGACACGAGTGCCTACATCCACCGCTGCTGGGGATGCCTTGGTCCTCCCTGGCTAAAGGTCTGCCCCCTGCACACGCCGCCCCCCACCCAACACTTGTCACAGCCTTGTACCTTTTAAATGAGAGGTCTTTGGGGGAGAAAATTAAATACGCCTCAAATTCAGAGGAATTAATTAGTTTTCTGTCTACCCATGTCAAACGAGAACACCCGTTTAATGTCAAGGAGCACCAGGGAATTAATCCAAGTTAAATTTAAGGCAATTTGCTAGTAGTTAAAAATTCAGGAAGCTTCAAAACCCCACGCTCTTCTGTTCCAATTTCACACGCTGTTTTGTGGCCCCTTGGCTGGTGTCAGGCTTTTTTTTTTCCTCTTTTTTTTTTTGGTGAAAATGTTTATCTCCACGTACAAGATGCCGTGGAAGGGTTTCTTCAGAAAGGCAGTGCCCCCCCAAGTCCTGCTGGTAGTGTAGCACAGATTGCTGGAGATGGACCCCAACGTTCAACGCTACATTTTTTGCTTCATCTCAGGTCTCTTTAACGCAGCGAAGGATCTCAAAGCTGAACACCTACTGGAATTATTCTGGCTTGGGCCTCTGGTGACAGCACACGGCCCAACACAGCTTTCCAAGAAGCCAATGAACCGTAAGAGCTCATCTGTAGGTTCTCCACTAAATAAATGGTAGGAGAGCAGGCTTTCTCCATAAGTCAATTTACAGAGAGCACCATAATTCTATTGCTTTCCTAGAAATAACTAGAAAAATCATCCCTAAACAAACAGCACTTGCATGTCAGAGCAAAAAAGAACCAGAGAGCAGATTTAATCATCCCTTTCCTGCCAACTTCTGCCAAGATACAGGGCAGCTTTTTGTTTCTCATGTTGTCAAAGCTCTGGTCTTAAAGCAAGCATTAAGAATTTATACACCTTTTAACCCCAGCTGGAACGAACCTAGCTGTACAAACGCACCGTTTATGGAAAGTGTTTATTTTGCATTAGCAGTACAGTTGTTTGTACACGAAAATATCACCTGATGGCATAATAACAGTCTGAGCAAACAGAATATTCACTTAAAGTGAATTTCACCTCTGGCAAAAAGAAGAGCCAGTGACGCTTACACAGCCAACCTCCCTGCATACATACCTGGAATAAGTCCCCCGACCAAAATCTCTCAATTAAGGGGTTCAAACGAGTAGTGCCTTAAACTCAGCAAATTATTTCAATTTTGACCAAGAGCCACGGAGAAGAAACGCAGCACACAGATGAAAGCCTTTGCCATCCCATCCCTTGGGAAACAGCGGGGACAAAAATAAACTCCAAAGCGCTTCATTCCCTTCACTCCGACAGAAAGCAGCAGGAAAAACGGACTACAGTTCTTCCTCAGCAATTGAGAGCCCTGTACGAGAGGAAAATATTTTCTGCTGTCTCACAAAAACCAAGATTTTGAACCCCACGGCATTTAGCCTGGTGCCATTTTCTGAATGTAAGCTTCCACCCTTAGCACAGAGGGCTCTGGTTAGGGAGCACCAAGCAGCACGCTCCTCCAGTGGCTCCGTGCTCCCTGGGGAAAACAGGCCAACTGGAATCTCACCAAAAATGCGCTGTTTCCTCCCCCATTTCTCTCCAGAGAAAAAGAAAAACAGATTAAGGAGGAACTGAAATTCACTGGGAAGGTTTGCGATACAAAGGAAAGCCCACCGCCAAAACCCAAAAACAAACACACCCCACGGCTGCTTCCCCACGTCCTCCGTATCTCCACTCCCAAGACATTCCAACATTTTTTGAATTCCTCTCCAAAAGAGCTCTGCAAGGTGAGATTGGACTGACCTCCCCCTCGCACAAGGTTCTGTGCGCGAGTTTCACTTTTACCCAATTAAAGACAACAGAAATACAGAGGATTCCTCCCATCTACGCACCCTGTGCTGGAGGGAAAAAAGAGAACAAAATCACAATGTAACCTTAATGGCTGAAAAGGACAGTGCCCTGTACTTGGAATATTCTTCCAAATGGGAGAGAAAATGGAAGAACTGGGACATCAGTGGGTCACAGCTCCCCGCAAAGACAGCACCTGTGTTCTTCAGAGGTGCAGCTCCCAGCTGAAGGGTTACCTCACAAGGGCCTTTGAAGAAGGGCACACAGCTACTAGGGTGGCTTTCATTTCCTTATACTGCGTCCTCCAAGACTGTATTTGTTTCGGTTTTATTCAAAGTAGGTAGAAGTAACAGCTTATGAAAATGAACAGCTGCCACAAGAGAAATTCTTCTACTTTGATTCGAGAAATCAGCACGATGTGAAGTTGGTCCTGTGCTTTTCAGTGAACTTAAACAAACAAAAAAAAAAACCACAGGACACCTCACTGCCACCACCAACCCCACAGCTGCATTGCCTAAGTGCATTTTTACCATCAGATTTGAGCCCCTTCAATTCTCACTGACTGCTGTTAACATCTGCCTGATGGGGATTCTTGAAAACGTCTGTATTCCAGGCTATGCTGGATGGGACTTTGAGCAACCTGGCCTAGAGGGAGGTGTCCCTCACCACTGCAGGGCATTGGAACCAGATTGTCTTAAAGGTCCCTTCCAACCCAAACCATTCTATGATTCTACGATTGACGCCAATGCCACCCATGGCAGCAGCTCCTCTTGGCATCTGTGCAGCAGGTAATGCCCAGGAGCCCACGAGCTGCAGCACTGCACTCCAGCACCTGCAGCACACAGCCAAGAGCTCACTCCCAAAGTGTTTGTGCAGGTAAAGGGATTTCACCCCCATCTGTGTGGGTATAGAGTTTGTTAGCACATACAGTATGTTTAAGACCACGCCTTCAGGCTGCAATTGCTTCTGCTGTGAAAATACACAGATCTAAATGCAATTAGGAACTAGAGGAAGGCCAGTTTCAGCAAGAGGAATAAGGACGTTCAGAAAGCTCCCAGCTCTTCGTTCTGCTGCTACAGCTTGGCTTCTGCAACCTGAACAAGAACCAGAAGCAAAACCTAATCCTAACCCTGGTAAGCAGAACCCAGAACAACAGAGCTATCATTAAATATCTCACATCCCACTCCACAGCTTTCGGACCTGTCAGACCACTGATCTGCTGGGCCAGCTCCAGCCTGCAGAACCTATAGGCACAGAAACATAGCAGGACAACAGGACTGCTGAGGGTAGCTTAGAGAAATTCATTTATTAACCTTCATCAATTCCAACAGTGCATGAAGAACTTCACGAGAAAATGAAAGCTGGGGAAAAAGTGTTGGCCTCCTCAGTGTGGAAGGAGAGCAACTAGAAAGCAGAATTCAAAAAAGAAAACCCACCAGAGATGTTGGTTTCTCTGTAGTACTCTTAAATCAACAATTAGTGAAAAGATTTTTAGTGGTCTTTTAAGAGAAACTTAAATTAAAAAAAAAAAAAAGCAAAACCAAACAGAAAAAAACAATTACTGCTTACCAGTAACAAACTGGGTTCCAGCTCTGGTGCTTCTCCTGCAGCAGCTGAGGACATCAACAGTCTGAGGGCAGCACAGCAGTGCCCTGCTCTTGGCCTTCCAGCAGCACTGGGATGAACTCTTGTAGAATGACAGAGCTATAATAAAAGACAAAGCCAGACATTATTAGCACTGAACAACAAGATCACTGACCAGCAGCAGCACAGGTTGAAGTCCTTCCCCCCCAGACTCATGTGTAAAAGGTCTACATACGATCTAACGAACAGAAAGATGATGACTCAAATCATATCTACACATTCAAGGTAATTAAAGCCAGGTTACCTTCTTGCAGTAGTGTCAGCAAGTTACTTCTTACAAGTATGGGAAAAAATAATCTAATTTTGGATACTAAGACTTCAAACAGATCTATGAAACAACAGTGTTTCCTGTTTGGTAGCTTTTGAAAACATTCTCACTTTAATGACTTTTCAAAGAGACATCCGTGGCCCAAGGGGCACTGATTCACCTTATGTGACCTGTCAAATACTGGGGCTGAAAGCTGCCAACGGAGCTCCTGACAAAACCCCTGTTTGCAAAGGAATGCTCAGGATATTCCTCTTGGAACACGGGAGGAACAGCTCCTGTGGCTGATGCCATTCCAGGTTATGAGGCAAAACAATCCCCAGATTTTGAAAATCTGTCACAGAGAAAACACCAGAAAATAGAAATGAAGAAAGCTTTTCCACTGCGAGCTAATGTCATTATGAATGGCCAAGTAATGAATCTAATAAGCAAATGAAGCAAAAAGGAAGAGCCAAGCATTTTTATGGCAACGAGCAGAACTGTGAAAATCTTGAGACAAATACACAAATATAACCCAATTCGAGCAAATACCACTGACTTTGTTCTCAATCTCTATTTCTGACTGCCAAATCTTGCCTCTGCCTAATTCTGATTGCTTCTCCATTGCAGTTGTGTTGGCTGGCTCTTGACAGTCCTTTTATTTAGGCAGTTAAAGAGGGAAAAAAAGCAAGAAGAGCAGGGAGGGCACAACCAACACTGACATGTGGGAAATGACCCTGTTAGTGCATTAGGAAATTAATCTGCACTTTCACTCAGACTTGGGAATGCTACAGTCCCCATTTACTGCCTGTCCCACTTAAGCCAGAACGGTCTGGTAAACACAGCAAAGCTGAGACCTCTCCTATTTTGTACTGCTCTTCCCTTCCCTTTGCCCTGCATTCTGCACCTGTTCTCCACGTCTCATGGAAGGGACAAAACCTAGTGATGGTGATTAATGGAGGCAGCCCCACCATTAGGTAGGAGCAGAACAGCAGCCATAGGTATTTCTCCAACCTATACACTGGGTTCCACTTCTAAACCAGCTTTTGTTATCAATTTCAAGCCAAATTTTATTTACAACCTGGAAGCTTTACTAACAAGGCACCCTCTGGATACTCTCTTCCCATTATCACAGCAATATCTTTGGATGCTCTGAACTTACCACTATTTGGGTCCTTTCTGTTAGTGAAGCAAAGCGCCGCGACGTTTCACAGCTGCATGGTGCATGGTTTGGTGGGGGAAGGAAGATGGTAAGGAGCTCCACGAGGTTCTTCAGACGTCCTGTGTTTGGGAATGGAAAGAACGGGAAGGAAAAATGAAAATCTACACTAACGTAAAGCAAAACAGAATTGTCAATTACAAGCAATAGGTAAAGCAACGCTTACAAGACAGTTTCCCAGCTCAAATGTGAAACATTCTGAAATATTTACACAACTACGAGCACGGAAAGCGAGTTAGCTCCTGCATGAAGTTGGAGTTTAACATCAGATTTTAACTGACAGCTTCTGGCCACGCTTCCAGAGCGACGCGCTCTGAGGAACTGTGCAGAAAACAACACTTCCTCAAGCTGCTTGAAGATGTCCCATCGATGTTGTGTGTTCTAATTAGCAGCATAAAGATTTAATTAGCGTTGATACAACAACTGCGACACACACCCTTCGCAGGGGGTTAATGTTAACCCGACCTCACTGTTACAGCCATTCCCACCGCCACCCCAAAACCAAACTATTTGCCTGAGGTTACAGAGAAACCCTGCACTGCACAGAACGGAGACATCTGAATTCTATTCCTGCTCATCTCTGCTGAATCACAGCCTCCGAAAGGCAGCGCCGTGCCTGAGCCACAGGGCAGCACACACGGCCACAGAGCACACAGCTGCCTCTTCCTCTTTACACACAGTCCAACGTTCTGAAGAAAAGCCACAGAGCTGTAGAAAAAGACACAAGTGCCCACCAGAAAAGCAACGCAGGCAGAAAGAACACATTCCAACTGTTAGCTAATGCAACAGGATGCAGCTTTCTGAAAGGGCACCGTGCGCACACCTCTCTGCACACACGGAGGAAACACGGCGTGGAAATATCCACGTGCTTCCCTCATCCATCTCCCCTCAGCTTCCAGCTCTGCCCCTCCACCCCCAGCTGTGTGGGGCACAGCACAGAACAGCCAATGGCAAAGCAAGCACTGAGAAGGTTCAAGAGGTCCGGTGACACCCGAGAGGTAAGAATTCAGCTGTCTGTCTGTCTGCTCCTCCGACAGCCCAACGGCTGGACCAGCAGAGCTTACCTGTCCCAGTGCCACTGACTCCTGCAAGAGCTGAGCTCCTGCTCACAGTGCAGTCACAAAAATAACCGAAGCAGAAGACGTCACGTTTGTGTCTCTGTTACCCAAAACCCAACATAAAAAGCACCGGAGAAAAAGAGGGTTAAGGCACGTCATGTTGGGAATTACCCTGCTGGGAGCTTCCCCCAAAATGCTCTCGTTGGGTTTTTGGCTTTTTCGTGAGGGGATCTTTGCTAAAACTCCCAAACCCAGAACGTTTAAAGGGTGGAGGGAAAGGAGGAAGAATCGCGGGGTGATTTTGAAAGGGAAGTGTGGGGGGGAGCTGGGGGAAAGGGCACCTAAAAGAGAGAATAGAGACACAGGATTCGGGAGCACACCAGCAGATAACACACGCGGTGCTCTGCAGCTTTTGTGCCTGCGGTTCCTGGTACAGCACTCAGTGCCTTGGGCAGGCGTCCCTTCCACATTTTCAGTGTCAACCTGATCTTTTTTCCTCCCCATCCCGTAACAGTTGATCAAACCCAGGAGAGGAACGAAGGCAGGACAGACACACGGCTGTGGGAAGGAACAGCAGTGAGCTGCTCTTGTGCACCTCATCCTCCTGCACTGTGGAGCAGCACTTTAGGAGCACTGCATCCCGATTACCTCTTTTATCAGGATTGAATTAGTTGGTGTCAGGTTTGGGTATTTTAAGCGCTAATGACCAACACAGACCATTGATTCTTCTGTTTCAGAGCACTGGTGAGAAAGGCATTTCCTCCAGAGGTATATTAGTACGAAAGGTGTGAGTTCTGTTAGTGTCTTCATCCTGAAACACTAACCACAAGTTGAGAAATATAAGAAGTAGCTCGGGTGGAACAGGGACTCTGAATACAACACAAAAATGATGGAAGGTAGCTATGGATTTCAGTGACCGCAGGTACAAACATATTCCTTAATATGTAAAACCCCGCTCACTTTTCTAAGTAGGGTTCTTAAGCAGCTAAGTTCTTGGCATGAGCTCCAACATTCTTGTTACTAAGTTTATTTAATCCACACATAAGCCAGTGGCTGTGTTTGTGGAATATTTCTGAGGTTCTGTGTCCTCCCTGCTTTACAGAAGACCCCACCTCAGCTCTGCATAAAGCAAAAGTCAGGCAACATGCAGTGTGTGCAGGATGACCAACGCGAGGGCGGCAGTCAGGCTGCAGAGCACGGCAGCAGGAGGCTCTCAGCTGCCAGCTACCTGCAAAGCTACACTGCTCCAATGCCTGCGTGTGTCCTCACCTCTATGCAACCCAACACCTCCAAGTGGAAGGCCTTTCCATCTCATTAGAATTGCTGTCCAGGACCGTGACCTGCCTGCAGCGCACAGGAGGCACTCAGCACCAACGTTTCACCAGCAGCCAAAGCACAACCCGATGTTTCTTGAACATACTTGAAGAAAAGCAAGCTGAAGGAACTGCTCAGGGAATGGCTGCTCGTTTGTGAGGAGGTGCAGTGAGGACCTCAGGCTGCACTGCATTAACAAAGAGCATCTTTAGCATATCTGTGATTTTTCATCAACATACTCCATGGTGTTTTAGGAGAGGAGAGTGAAGAAGGCATCCCTGCTCCGCAGAAGCAGCTGATGGAGCCCAGCACTCCACAAGCAGCTATGGGATGGGATGGGTCCCAAGAGGAAAACAGCTCTTGGGGGAAAAAAAGAGGAAAACCCGACAGCAGTTCAGGGTAAGGGGCTACAAATGCAAAGGTGCCACTTGGAGAAAACAAGAGGGAGGAATAAGGAGATGTTCTGAAGGAATAAAGTGGAACTCTAACCCCAGGGTTCTCACTATGCCATTGTCCTCACCTCCCTCCACCTCCATCCCCCAGCACCCTTCACCTGGGCACTGTAAGCCCCAAATATCCCATACACACAGCACAGGTGAGCCGTGTGCTGACTCAGGCAGGAGTAACAATACAACAAGTGCAACAAGACAACAAGCACAGAATGAACCCCTCCTGCAAAGTGTCCGATGCTCTGCGCAATGGACACAACCTGCTGGCTGCTGGGAATCACAATGTGTGCATGGGATGAGCACAACAGCTGCAGGCTGCTCTGCAGTGACAAACCAAGCCCTCTTTTCACCCCTTTGTTTGGCATTAAGTTAGAAACCCCCCTGTGAACAGGAGCAAAAAAATAATTAATAAACAACCAAACAACCATGAATGGTTTTTACTAATGTAAGAGGAGTCCAGAGAGCATGACAGAGTGCTCTGGCAGGCACTGAGAGCAGCACAAAAAGGGAAAAAGTGCTGGGAAAAGCTGGGCTGATGTGCTGCGGTCCTGCTGGGTGGGTGTCAGCCTGCAGTCGTGCTGCAGGACAGGAAACTTCGCTCAGGAACTGCAGAAACAGATCTGCAAAGAAATGATCAGTGCGAGAGGAGAGTGCAGGCAGCCAGATTTGGTTGAGTATTGGTGGCGAAGCAGCCGGACTGGCAGCAGGTAACAGAGCTTTCATTTCTCTGCAGAGCTGGAGGTGCTAAACTGGGTTTCCTCTGAGCGCTCTGAGTTAGAAAAAATAAAAACCAACATTAAAAAAAGAAAAAACCCTCCCTCAAAGAACATCTCCTCTGTCGTACGGCTGTCCCAGAAAACAAAGACCACGGGGAAAAAGTGGCCCATTTTCCTCCTCCAAGAACCCCACGTACAGGTCATGTTTTCAAAGCCTGAATCCTGCGCGCTTTCGAAGGCAGCAGCATTTAAAATACACAAATAACCGCTCAGCATCAGAAGGATCAGAACATCCTCGTTGGGTTCTTTTTGGTGCTGCGCTACGACCGATTCCATGTGAGCTCCGCCAGCCCCCAGAACAGCACCAGAAAGTGACGATCCCACAGTGAAAGCACCGTGACTAACGATACACCCCACCCTTGGTCAGTTTGTGCTTTTTTTCCCCCATCCCAGCACGAAGGATTTCCCAACACAAAACTTGACAAACAGTGAGGGAACCCGGGCAGGATTGCCATGGGAAAGTCGCTATCTGTTTGCCATTAAAAGCTGCTGTAAGAGACATGGCGAGCCAGGTGTGGGTGCAAGTGGGAGAGCTGTGTGAGTTCATCCATCGCTCTTCCTGGGCAACATCAGCTCTTCGTGGGGAAATAAAAGGAAAAGCACTCCCTCACCTCTTCCTCCCTCACCTTTTCGCGAGATGCACGCAATGCAAGAACAGCAGAGCAGCTCCGAGCGCAGCACCGCACTCATAATGAATACTTTATGGAGTTCAGAGCCGGGACCCGGACCCGGATCGGATCGAACTGCCACCGAAATGCAGACGCACAACTCGAGTGCAGGTGCTGCCCGCAAAGCACGCAGCTCCCAGCCGGCACCGCCGCAAACAATGCCGCCCGTCGCCCGGCGTGCCAAGTGCATCGCAGCCACCGCACAACCAAACAGCGTCGGGAATCCATCCCGAACTGTTCAAGTGCCCCTTTGTTCGTCCTCCCGTGGTCAGGTGAGAACCCAGAGATACAGCGTTGGGGCAGAAGGCTCCTCCCGGCCCTATAGCTGTCAGTGGGGGCACTGACACAAAGGGGCCGCGGCGGACGGGGGGCACTTTGTGTGGGGTGGGGGCAGAGCAGAGGGCACCGCACTTGTTACAGCCCCACGGGGGCACCCACAACCCTCACGGGAGCGGGGATCGGCTTTGGGGTTTGTTTGCTTTTTCCCCTAAGGGTGTTGTTATTATTGCGTGTTGTCATTATCTCTAAAAGAGGGTCACTTCCCCCATGTCAGCCCGCAATTAAAATGGAGGCGCTGCGAGCCGGGCTTTAGGGGGAGACAATAACCCAAAACGGGGCTGGATGAAGGAAAAACAATAATAAATAAATAAAATAAAAATAGGGGGGGAAGGGGGAGGGGAGATGAAAAAAGGGGGGAAAAAAGAAAGAAAAAAAAAGGGAGGGAAGAGGAGGAAAAAAAAAAGAGGGGGGAAAGAGAAGGGGGAAAAAAAAAAAAAAAAAAAAGAGGGGAAAAAAAGAGGGAAACAAGAGGGGGGAAAAAAGAGAGGCGGAGGGACGCGGGGAGCCCCGCAGCACCGTTACCTCATCCCTCCGAGCGGCAGTTCGGGGCTCCCGACAAACTCTCGCTCCAACTTGTGCGGCTCCGGGGGCGGCGGGGCCCCGCGCGGGGCTCCGGGGCGGCCGTGCCGAGTTGCCCCCCCCTCCCCCCCCCCCCCCGCACCGCGCTGCCTCGAGCCGGGCGGGTGTTGACGCAGCAGAAATTACCAGCTGGAAAATTCCCCTTTTGGAGGTTACGGGGAAGGGGGGGGGGGGGGTTGTGGGAAGGGGGGGGCGGGAGGAGGAGGGAGGGAGGAGGGAGAGGGGGAGGGCCGGGGGGTTAAACCCTGCCCCCCCCCCCCCCCATACACACGCTGTATGTGGAACCCCCCCATCCCGCAGTCACCCCCTGAGGTGAACCTCCACCCCCCCCCCCCCCCTCCCGCGGGGATCGATCGCGATGGAGCGCTGCGATAGGGGGATAACGGTGGTAATAGGGAGGAAAGGAGGGGGTTGGGGAAAGCGGGGCGCCCGCTGAGGGGGGGCGGCCATGACGGCCCCCATCGCCTCAGGGCGGGGCGCGCGCTTACCTGGGCCCCATGGAGAGGAGGAGGAGGAGGAGGAGGAGGAGGAAGGAGCGGCCGCGCTCCCTCGGTCACTCCGCGCCTCAGCCTCCCCCCGGCGGGAGGGAAGGGGAAGGGGGAGGGGGGGTGAGGGGGGTGAAGTCGGATGAGGGAGTGAGGGAAAAGGGGGGGGGGAAAGGGGGGGGCAGCCGGGCGCGCTCCCGCCGATCCCTCGGGCGCGCGGAGGGTGGGGGGGGGGGGCTGGTGCCGCGCGGCGCGTGCCGGCGCTGTCCCCGCCCCTTCTCGCCTCAAGGAGAACGCCGATTGGCTGACGCCCCGCGCGGGCCCCTCTTAAGTTCCGCCCATCTCCCCGCCTACTGCTCCCCCCCTCCCACCGCCACCCTTGCGCCGGGGGAGCGGGGGCGCCGCCGCCGGCTTTGCCACTGCCGGACACCGGAAGTGAGGGAGGGAAGGGAAGGGAGGGGGCGCTCTCCCCGGGCGCGGCGGCGCGGGGCACGCCGGGACGGCGCTGAGGCTCGGCCCGCGGTTCGGTCCTCCACCGCTCCTCTCCGCGGTCCTGCGAAGTCCCACCGGCTGCGGTGCAGGTGTGAGGGGCCGCTTCCTCCCGCCGGGGGGGCCTTCAGAGCCGCGTCCGAGCCGGGTGGGAACGACTGGGGCGAAGGCTGCTGCAGGCTGTGTGGAGAAATAGGCCGTCCTGTCCCCGGAAGCCGTCCGGTTCCCCCAAATGGCCCAGCAGCGGGCCGTGCGCCGGGTCGGGGCCTCGCGTGAGGTCTGAGGTGCCCGTGGCCCTGCGGGCTTCGGCCCTGGGTTGGGCAGCACCCGAGGAGCCACTCCCGGCCCCCAGCTGTGTCACGTTCTGCAGGACAGCTGTGGAGCTGTTGGGGTGGTGTTGAGCTTTCAGGCCGCTTATCGGTGCTCACATATTGTGATTGCAGCCCAGCCTGGGGAAACGCACAGGTAACGGACCAGCCCTGGGTTGGGCTCTGTGCCCTCGGTGTCGCTGCTGCGATAACGGCGCGCCAGAGCTCTGAAAGTGCTGGCTGTGGTTTCCTTCCCTCATCCGATGCGCTCGGCTGCTGCTCGCACTGCCAGGTGCCTCCATCTCAGAGCTGTGCTTTCTGCTTTTGTATCTGGCACGTGCTTTCCACCCCCGTTTTGTCCCACATACCCTCAGTACCTTGAATTCAGAAAAGCACGCGAATAAACCCAATTAATGAAAACGAAACGCCTTTCAGCTCCAGCGTGTTTTTAATTACTTCTTTATTTTATATTGCAACAAAGTCCAAACAGCACCTTCCTAGAAAGAGTTCCATTAAAATGCAAATGAACAGTTTGCAGAACTTGGCTCTTCCTACGACGCAGGACAATTTTTAGCCTTATGAAACGCTGAACGCAGCGCGGTTTCCCGCTGCCACCTGCCCTTCCTGCACACCTGGCCACGTCACTGAACATTTCCCAGCTCTGTCACCAATGGGTAACGCACGTGGTGAGGCACTGGAACAGGTTGCTGAAGGAGGCTGTAGATGCCCTATCCGTGCAGGCATTCAAGGCCAGGCTGGATGTGGCTCTGGGCAGCCTGGTCTGGTGGCTGGTGACCTGCACACAGCAGGGGGTTGGAACTGGATGAGCATTGTGGGCCTTTTCAACCCAGGCCATTCGATGATTCTGTGAAATCCCTTTTCCTGCTCAAGGTCTTTGCTGGCAGAAGCTGCCTGGGGAGCCTGGAATTCATCAGCAGCTTCGGTCTCAAGAAGGTTTTGTCCCCTTCTGCTGATCACACGTAGCTCCCTCCCCTCCTTAATTAGAAGTTTGTATTGTGTTTTAGGTAAATACTGCAATTACTCTGTCCTTGGAAATGATGTGATTTCTCCTCATAAATTGGACGCTCATGGAAATAAACAAATAGGAAAAAAAGGAGAGTTGGAGGGGAAAAAAACCAGTAGTTCGTGGGATTTTGGGTGTGGAAGCCACCGTAAATAAGACCTGGAAGAAGGGAAAAGCACAGCCATCAGCCCTCCGGAGGAGTGTCAGGGAGTGCAGACTGCGCACAGAACGAGATTTTGCATTCAATAAACTGAGCTGATTTCTTGTGCCTTTGTCCTGTGGTTAGTTTGGAGACGTGCTGAAAAAGCCAAGTGGCCTCATTATTCTGTTACTCTGTTTTTGTGGGGCTTTTTTTTGTTTCCCTAGTAAAATTTTTAGGGGAAAGGGAGGCGCAAAAGAAAAATCCCAAGAGATCTGTGATCCGAGAGCTTCGCTTGCAGAGTTCCCCTTTTGTTTCCAGAATGCTCCATCGCCAAAGCCTGTTCTTCTCCAAGCCCTGCAGGAAGGAAGCGATTTTAGGGCTCCTGCCCTCAGCCCCGCACAGCCTGGGACCATCCGCTGAGCTCAGAGCAGCTCAAAGAAGGGTTAAGGACCCACATTCCTGTCCCTATTGCTTCAGACCAAAGGTCAGCGGGTTTCTTACCACAAAGGAAGGGAGGGAGGAGGTGTGCAGCCCTGACCAGGTCATTTTAGGAGTGAACCACATCTGAGCCGCACTAATGAACTGCGTTTGTCTCTGTTGCATGCACGTACTCCCGCTTGGAGCTTGGCGAGTTGGAATTCCTGCTCTAGTGGGAGTGAGCGTGTCGATTGTGTTTTTTCCATGATGTGTATGGAGGCATTTGCTGGGTTGTGGGAGTAAACACTTGGGGGAATTCTCCATGAACGAGCGAGGGCAAGTCGTGAGCCTACTAAATATGGTGAAGGGAGAGCGCAAAAAAGCCCCGGAGAATAAAACTGCCCCGCACCACCCCCAAATAAATGCTGCTCCTCCTCGTCCTGCTGCTGCTCGGCTGCTCCTTCCATCCCAGCGCACTGCGCCTCTTCCCATCGCAGCTGCCTCAGGGGTCCCAGGGCTTCCAATGTGCCAGGGGCTGAGGATGGTGCTCATGCACAAAGCATTTGGCCAGCTGCGTCCCACCGACCTCCTCTGGTGCTGCTCTCGAAGGGGTTGGCCTCGTCAGCAAACGGTTTTTCGTCTCCAAAAATACAGGGGGAATATTTTTGGAATATCCCCCTCTGAGCCCTGCTCGCTGGCTCTGAGCTCAGCCCAAGATGCTGCTGGCAGCAGCACAGCCCCCAGAGCAGCATTTGGGTTCAGTGGCCACAGTGGGGATCCCCAGGGCTGTTCTGGCTCCCAATCCCCATCCCCTCCATGGGAAGCCTGGGGGCCGTTTCAGTTTCCAGTCTCCTTTCTTCCCATGGGAATCCCAGAGGCCATTTTGGTTCCCAATCCCTATTTCCTCCATAGGAAGCCCAGGCAGACTAGTGCCTGCACGAAGATTCTGGCTGCATTCTGCATTTCCCTGCTTTGCCAGGTGCTGATCTGGGGCATCTCCCTTTTGCCAAGCAGCACTTTGGGATGGTTTGCAAGCAGCTGCTCTTCCATTGGAGTTTTTCTTCTGCAACTCTTGGCTCAGCTTCGCCTCTCTGCACACTGGTGCTTGCAGCGTGCTTCTGTCTGATGCCAGCAGCACCATGCAGGAAGGATGCAGTGAATTTGGATGTCTGCAGCATCTCACACCTCCAGCAGCCCCTTTGGCAATGAGCAAATCCACTCCTGCCTGCCATGAGACCCAGGCCCCTGGTGATGCGCCCATGTCGGCATCCCTCTGATCACAGCTTGCTTCTCAAGACAAATCCTTTTTGCTGCAGTATCTCAAACTACTCTGTGTTTAAGAGAGATTCGTCTCAAGTATATTCTTCTGCTTGCAAAGATTTTGTTTCCCTTGGAACCCAAACAAATTGCAGGTCTGTCTCTGAGCCCTTTGTTCCATGCAAACGATATAAATAGTGCATGCGATGGAGCTGCGCTTGGAAAGCACAGAGCAACAGTGAAAATATATATATAACTGTGAAGGGCTGGGGAGTGTGGTTTTGGGTTTAGCCCGGCAATTGGTGGCTCACCTAACAATTTAGGCCACGTTTGAGGTTTATCTAGGTTAAATACGGTACGCCACATTTCGCTGCTGTTTGCTCAGAGCTCCGGGCATGGCTGGAAAATGTGGGGCAATGAATGAGGAGGACCAAGGCAAAATGTCCAAAAAATGTTATTAAGTAAATAAGAAACCTTTTTTTTTCACAATATTTGAATCATTCAATTGCTTGTCAGGAGGTTGTGATGTGGCTGCCCATCAAATCGGTTCTACCAGAGGCAATTCAGAGGCTGTTGGTGCTGTCCAGCATCCCCAGGTCATAGAGAGGCAGCTCTCCCATTGCCACGGGTCCTATGGGACCCTGCAGTGTGACAGTGTGACCCAGTTTCAGCCATTGGATGGGAAATCTGGTGGGGACGGGGATGGGATAAAAATGGGGACAGGCAGGGAGACAAGCGCTGCTCGTGCAAAGCTGGGATCGTGGGGGCTGAGGACAATCACAGCAGCAGAGTGGCGGTGCTGGAGACATCCTCGTTTTCCTTCCTGTGGATGCAGTCATTCCAATCACCTCCAAAAATGCCCACGGCTGCTTTCTGAGCCTAACCTACTTGCTGTCATTGCTGCCCTGAGCGCTGCACCGATGGCCCTCAGCACAAAGCAGCCCCACAGAAACCCCTCTGGCACCCGACCCTGCCCAGTT